TGCATAAGCTATTGAATTCTAGTTACGTGATCAATTGACGCCTAATTATTTTGAAATAATGTAATTAGCTAAAATTCTAACGTTAAATACCTGACAATAATTAATTTATTTAATGAATTTATTGTGTAAGTACGGTAACTCTATAGTTCACTTAATTACACATTTCTATTACACAATCGTTTAGGATTAGGATTTATTAAAGTAAAGTTAGTTTCACAATTACTTAACACCAGTTATTTTAAATACAATCATAATAATATATAATCGTACACCTACATGTATCGACAAACACAATCAAAACAATATCCAAAGCCCATCAATATCAAACCGTAGCAATAATTAAATTTCAACCTTCCACAATCGAATAATTCGAATAACTCGTCACATAACTAGAGGCACACCTCTATTCCATCTAGGAGACGTGACGAGAAACCCACTATACGCCTTTAACGAAACCTTTGAGGGCCAATGGAAGGATTTTCAATTTTGAATGCGAATCTCAAACGTCCTTGGGACGCGATAGGATTATCTAAGTTAAGTTTGATATACTTACCTAGGTAAAGTTCTTCGGTTCAACTAATTTGTGTTAATGAATGTACCTACTTCCATTTTAATTTAGTAATAATTATTCTTTCTTAATATATTCTTCGGTTAATGCATTATATTACACAGAGCTGTACCTACCAATAACAATATTTTTATTATGTTCGTTTTTAACAAAGTTCGTCTTATCCCTATTGGAATAAGGCCGAATACTAAGCATATCATTTCCCTAAACACAGCACTAGTAAAAAATCATACCATTGCTCTTTATAAGACCAAAATCAAGGTAGACGATTATTCTACCTTAAATTTTATAAAGAACCTAACAACGAATAGATCCCTAGACACATAATATCTGCTACGTAGTTTCCTATGTCTACGTGTTTCCAAACAGGCTGGAACAAAAGCCGAGGCCAATATTTAACTTACCCCGCCCTCAGGCAAACGAACTAAAGTTTCCCATCACTACGAATGTACACTACAGCGCTTTTATTGTTTTTTATTTTTAAAATTTAAATTGAAAATTAGAACGTGACGTTTTTTCTGTTAAAAATAATACGTGCTTTTTTCGCGTGTATCTTGTTTAGGTATGTTCACTTTTCGAATTTAGTGTTATGTTATTTTTTTGTCTTGTTTTTTAACCTCTTTTAGGTTTTTGTTTTTATATATCGAATTCGTAATAATATGCCTGTAATTTTTTTAATCCTTGTATTTCCTCTTGTATTTTGATTATTTTAGACACTAACTTACCTACCTACAAATTATATTTGATTTATGGAAAATTGTACCGATTTACCTATGGAATATAAAATAGCCATAGGACCTAAAATGAAACAAATCAAGTTATTATTATTGTTTAATGTCCAAAGTTGATAATTACATTATAAACAGAAGCAAACATTGCAGTCTGGCTTCAAGCCAAATGGAAGTACTCCATGGTAATCAAATGAAATGTCATAATTTTATTTTAAAACTCAGTTAAAAACGCCCGTGTTCTACGAATATTCATTAGGGCAACTCTTTTGATGTTAAAACTTCACTTTTAACTGAATTTCACATCAGTTGACACCTTTATTAATTAAATTATGATTTATTACACGGAATTAAATGTATGTACTAAAATGACATTTTATTATTTTTATAAATATTTCTAATACCTAAATGTATTTACTAACAAATACGTAATTCAAACTACTCAGATGTACTATGAACACTATTCAATTGTTGATCAATTGTCAATTCTCGATACATTTCAAGTGTCGTAAATGTAGACAAGTATCCCTTCTGAGGAACTAACTGAGGGCCAAAGTAGTCGGGAGGGTCGCAGGACAATGGACACCCTCGAAAAAGACCCTCAGAGGTCACATACCTCGTCTAAAAGGGGTTTTTTGTAAACACTATCTTGTGTTCCGATAGAAAACGAGTTTACTTTATCTAACAATATATTTTTAGAGAACGGGTAAACCGCCGTTCTCTTAGCAAAAATCACTACTTTATATGTATACAATTGTGTCGTAGGATTTTATTTGTGAATCGAAATCAAGAGTCCATGTGAGAACTAGGTTTTTCAACGAAATAATCTTTATCTCCGTTGTAAATTGTACTCTATTTACATTTATGTGACGGTATGGATGAAAGAACTAGCTCTAGGCAATATAACAGGCGCACATAAAAGCAATTTTGCCAAAATACGATTTGACTATAAACTTGCTGATTAAAGTAATCTACATTTGCGAGAAAACAATGAATAATTTTAACATTTTACTTAGTACAAATATTTTTATAAAGTCGTTTAATTTAGTACTTTCTAAGAACCCGTAATACTTAATGGTTGTTTCTCAAACGGCCATAACTCAGTTCAAACAGCTTTAATAAAGCGCTTACTGAAAACGCTAGCTAAACCATTCCCCAACGTAACGGGCAGGAGCTAAATATTTTTAAACCAACACGGTCATTACGGCCATTTTGTTTTGCATTTCACAAATACCTAGTAACATTGGAACCACCAGTGACACAGCAAATTACTTTTTAGAGGAAATTTCGCGTACTCACAGTTGTAACGAGCATTCGGTGGTCGCGCCCGCAAACAACCAAACCGACCAACTAAAAGTTTAACTTACGGACTTGTTCGTTCCCGAATTGCGTAATAGTTGGTCCGTGAGCCGACCTCCGAGCCGAGCCGCGGCATCTATAGGCCTCGTAATGAGTGCAATAACTGCATGCCACCGTCGGCTGCGTAATTATATACCATTATCTGGGAGATAGATGTAGATAGACGCGTGGTGTGGATTTCCTGATTATACGCCGACGGCCAATGGACTGGAAGAGCGGTTTCGAGGCACTTAGTATTGATAGTGCGGGTTGACTTTGAAGTCCTCGGAATATAGACCTTAACTGAATCGAATTAAGATGTAAAATCAAAGCCCAGTAATGGGGATGATGACAGGGTATGAAAATTAAAAATATAATTAGTCCGTAAGTTAGGTAATGAAAAAATATTAGACACGTATTTTTTTATTTTGTCGTATAATAAAACAATACTTAGATAAAACGAATCAAAGTTTAGGAGTGGGGGCTAAAACGTCATTTCTTAGTATAAAATGTACTGAGAAGTGACGTCACGCGACATTTCAAATCAATATATCTTCGAAACTATTCGTTTCTGTGAGAAAATAAAAAATACGTGTCTAATGTTTTTAAATAATCTATCAGACGGACATTAAAATAAAAATTAGTCGTCTACCCCATTACCAACGACATGCTAATAAGGGTATTGTTAAAAATACATTTAAAACTTACTTTTTAACCAAACAACAACCCTACGTGAACAGCGAACACGGAACCGCGTTTGCAACAATTTGAAATGAAACAAAACACAATCAACGTACATAGTTGAAAACTAATAGCCGTAGCTCACTGCTTTCAAAGTGCACCTACAAATGAAATAGGGTATTAGACGTATTAGCTGACTCAGGCACAATGGACACACAGTTCACAGAATTACTAGCAAATGCTGGCAAACTATACAATTGCCATGAGAAATGACAAGTTAAAAAGCGACTAAAGCCTTCCGATCGGTCTAGTTATGGGAACTAGTGACTACGTTTAATGAAATTGTTATAAACATAGAGGGTGTAGCGTAATCGCAGGCCTAGTGGGAACGGCCATGTGGCCCGGCCGGCCAGTGGTTAATGCGAACCGATGAGGAACTGGGGCCACGAGGTTTAAGCGTATTTGCGAAAAGATTAAGCTGTGATTTGATTGCCCCTATTTGTTACAACGAGTGGCGTTTAAAGTGTTTTGTCAGCCTTTGATGTTGTATGGAATTACTTGACATTGTGTTGTCGACTTCACTTGAAGGTTGCTCTTTTTGATCCTCGAAAACATTTCGCATTACATCATGTTGAAATTAAACAGTCTGATTCCGTCTTTTCATAGTAACATGCATCAACACAATTTTACTTCATATACTCTTTGGTTTAACAAAATAATACCAGAAAACCTTAGCAGTTTCTCAAAATCGCTGTCGCTCAAGAACCCGCTGGCTTAACAGCCAACCACCATCTGTATAATAAGCCCATTCCATTTTAACGTTTCCAACATGGAAATTATAGAGAGCTGGTTGAATCCCAGTGTATTTGCTTCTCAAACATGACAGTCTCAGTGGTAATTTGCACCGAATGGTATTATCGAGTGCTCCCCACATTCTGGAACACCCTGTGTATAGGCAATGGCGTGACGAGTGAGCGACGTACGTAGTCTGTAATTGAAAGCTTCGGACAATGGCAACTAATATAGTTTTACGTTCTTTAAAAAATATTTGATAAGAAGGTAGACGTGTAGTTAGTGTTTGTGACATTGTTTATTTACTAATGGAAAAAGCACGCAAACTTCCACAAAATTAAATAGTTCAAAATAGGGTAGTTTCCAGGGCAAGAAAATTAAAAATCTAATTAGTCCGTCTGTTAGATATTGAAAAAATATTAGACACGTATTTTTTTATTTTCTCGTATAAAGTATTGTATACTTAGATAAAATGGAGTAAAGTTTAGGAGTGGGAGGTAGTTACATCACAACGTGCTACATTTTGTAGCACTCTGTGATGTCACACGACATTTCAAATCAATATATCGTCGAAAGCATTTAATTTTGTGTGAAAAGAAAAAATACGTGTGTAATGTTTTAAAATAATCTACCAGACGGACATTAAAATACAATTTAGGAAACTACCCTATTAACCAATCTTCTTAAACTAATTGTACCTTTCGGTATGGCAAGATATAATTATTGTGAATCTTTCATAAAATCTCCTGGAACATTCACATAATATATATCTAGATAATTCTAAATGTTTAAATATTTACCAGAATAGTTCTTGAGGCCAAATTATATTGATTTGCATTCTTTGTGATGATTCACATAATTCAAAGATGTCTAACAAAAATCTTGTTCTTTGTCCACAGATGTCGCCTCTCCGAGCTGGAAGACGGCTAGCAACCTTCATCACGTCCAATGCCTTCCTGGTAAGTTGTTTTCACCTTATTTTCACCATGGGGTGATAGCGATGATGATGTGGTAAAAATTATAACATTGCTCAATAATATTATACTACACGCTATCAATTCAAACAAAAACAACGAAAGCTGTCAGACTACGGTACTTATAGGGGCATTTTCTTTACAAACCACATTATTAATTTATTGTTGGCCAGCTAATTCTATTCCCTTTTGTAATTATAATTAATGGCTGCCATACTAACTCGGTTGATTTATGTAGATACACCGTCTAGGCGTCTAGACTGGATCTAGATTAACACGCGTGACAATAGCTAGATTAATTAACCGACCCAAGTTTAAATTAAATCCGTATAATAATCACTATTAAATCTATACTTAATATTATAAAGCTGAAGAGTTTGTTTTTTCGTTTGTTTGCTTGTTTGAACGCGCTAATCTCCGAAACTGCCGGTCCGATTTGAAAAAATCTTTCTGTGTTGCATAGCCCATTTATCGAGGAAGGCTATAGGCTATAAAATATCACGCTACGATTAATAGGCGTCGAGTAAAGCGAGTGAAACCGCGCGGAAGTAGCTAGTATTTGATAATCCTCTTTTGTTTTCGCCTTTCCTCACTGGATTGGAGTTGGAATAAATTGATTCAGATAGCACAATGTGTTAAATTTCTTTAGGGTTTTTCTTTCGCAGTTGACTGTCATTCTTACTCAAAGACACTCATATCTACGTGAGTATATCTATAGACACTCAATTGAATTTACACACACTGCTCAACTCAATTAATAAATAAAAAATACATAGACCACCTATACATTGACTGCACGGTTGGCGCTGTGGTTGGGCAACTGACTGCCGCGCAACGTGTTGCGGGTTCGATTCCCGCACGGAACAACTCTTTGTGTGATCCACAGATTGTTGTTCCGGGTCTGGGTGTCAAGTGTATGTGAACTTATATGTTTGTGAACGCACCCACGACACAGGAGAAAATCCTGGTGTGGGGCAAAGTTTTTATAAGAAAAAGAAATTAACTGAATGAATTTTAGGCTTTGAAAAGGTATTCATACCTAACCGTCCGCAACCCTCCACACAAGGTCCATTCACTCAGCAACTTAAACAAAGAAAAACAACAATAAAATACATCGAAGAGTATTCAATAAGTCAAAAAATACATTCGGCGCGGTTCTCTGTTCTCGGCCACTACAAACAGAACTATAATAATATGTAGTAAGAGTAGCTTTTCCAATTACGTGTTCGTGTAATAAATCTCGATGAATTTATTGATAACGTTATGACATATCGTGCAATGAATTACGCGCGTAAACAACATGTAGCTACATGTATGATATTTATACAGTTTGTGTTGTTAATTAATTCGGTTATGGTGTATTTGAGCGGATTGGCGACCGGGCTGCGGTCGAGCCAACCACCTCGGGCTCCGTAGCAATCGAATCAGGGCTCCGGCAGCCGACATTATCTAGCTTGCTGGTTTAGATATAAAGCTACGGTTTCCACTGCGTAGAAACCAATTGAACGTGACTTATTGGCTTAATCATAGTCCATTTGCAATAGTTATCAATGTTAATTAACACGGGAACATTGCATAATGTAATTTCGGCCGTTCCAGTAGTTTTTGAACAAAACATTTCGAAACTTTTGCCCAAATCAGTTTAAATGAGGCGTTTTGTTGCATATAAGCAATTTCCCGCCCCCAAAATAGTGAGGAAACAGTTGAACACGGACATCTCCAGCAAATTATTATTTGGCTATTAGTGCGCGGACAATTAACATTCCGGTTGGAACGACGCAGCGGCGGCCGGCGCGCGGCGGCAGTCGCTCCAGTGCGTCGTCCCAGCAATCTGCATAATGCGCGACACTCATTTACCGACCGTTTGTGAGCGACAAATGAAGCGAGCGCAACTGAAAATGTTTAAAACGCCCAGCACAACCAGAGCTACGTCTTTCAAAGTCGACAGAGCATCACCGATGTCAACCGCGACTGGTTATTTCTGCGCGGCCGAAACGCAAATATTCGCAAAACTGTGGCATGTCTAATAGCGCGTGAACCCAGTGATTGTTCGCTTGGGATGCCGTCCGTTTATTTATTTTACGTATCGATGCGTTCTTTGTGGGACGGTTATTCGAATTTCGTATAATGGAACTTTTGTAAATGAAAGCCTCGGTTATGTGAAAAGATAATTTTACAAACGACGTCATGAGGTTGTGTAATGAAATTACGCAACTGTGAATAAATATCGTTAACAGCGTTTATTTTAAACCAGCTATAATAGTGCTAAGTGGCTATACACCGCTGGAGACACGTCTTCTATTCTGTATTGAATTAAAACATTACTAAATTCAATAGCATGTGACACAATTCCCATGTGTACCTGCATTAATACTGTTAAAAGTTAAAAACTATAGCCGGTTATGCAGTAAAACTAATATTTTATATCGTGTATAGAAAATACAATACTGAATGAAACATGTAGATTGTGGATAGAGTACAAATACAAACAGGTTTATATTCAAACGAACCAAAATCTTTTGTCTTATCGAACATGAATATTTTATTACCTATGTCTTAGCTACGTAGAAAAGTTTTATATATCGCAAAAGCTTAAACGAGAGTTAAAAAAAACATAGATACATACTTCGATTTGGAAATAGTGTAAATGATCTTGGTGGTGGCACAGTGGTCACGTGCCGCCGTACACAACATTGAGGAGGAGACACCCGTCTCTCTAGGGATGTGTCGTAACAGGCGGTGCACCGTGGAGGCTCCGGAGCAGAGTACCAAGCACGAATAACTATCGCAATCGTAACGTAATAGTATCGAGCGCGTTCGGCGCTCAGAGTGCCAAGCACGAATAACCATCGCAATCGTAACGTAATAGTATCGAGCGCGTTCGGCGCTGTGATTGGCCGGCTCAAGTGAACCAACCAATCAGAACGCTTAACTCGCTCGATACTATTACGTTACGAATGCGATAGTTATTCGTGCTTGACACTCTGATTGGTTGGTTTACTGGAGCCGGCCAATCAGAGCATCGAACGCGCTCGATACTATTACGTTACGAATGCGATAGTTATTCGTGCTTGACACTCTGATTGGTTGGTTTACTGGAGCCGGCCAATCAGAGCATCGAACGCGCTCGATACTATTACGTTACGAATGCGATAGTTATTCGTGCTTGGACCTCAGATTGGTTGGTTTACTGGAGCCGGCCAATCAGAGCGCCGAACGCGCTCGATACTATTACGTTACGAATGCGATAGTTATTCGTGCTTGGACCTCAGATTGGTTGGTTTACTGGAGCCGGCCAATCAGAGCATCGAACGCGCTCGATACTATTACGTTACGAATGCGATAGTTATTCGTGCTTGGTACTCTGGTCTCTTTTAGAGGATCCGGTGCCTTCATACAGGTGTTGGGGGTGGTCACCGGGGTGGTTTTAGTGAGGTAAAAATCCCACACTCCCTAGTCTTTTATCCCCAAAAACCTAGGCGCCTTTTGAAGGTTTCTCCCCGTCATCAAAAACCCGATTAAACCTTTAATCATATTAACAACTACATCACACGATCACATCACATCTTAAAAAAAGAAATTAGATATTATCATTACCAGCCGTATACGTTAATTGACGCCTTTTATCCCCGAAGGGGTAGGCAGAGGTGCACATTACGGCACTTAATGCCACTGTACAAGGTAACATCAACTTTTCACTATTTATGTTATCAGTAATATCAGTCCCATGTAATAGGGGGTGAACCTATTGCTATATACTGGACACATTTCCAGTCTCCATGCTAATACTGAGTTTTTCTTTAAAAAACCCCAGTATTACTTTGCCCGACCCGGGAATCAAACCCCTTACCCGGCAGTCGCACTTGCGACCAGTCGGCCAATGAAGCAGTATTTATAACCATTCTCATTTCAAATGAAGATATTATTATCTGTATTACTCGACCACAAATAAGATAGAAACTAATAAACACATACCAGATACGATCGTTCGCACTAAGAGTTCCGCACACCACAATATTACAATCTAAATATAATCCTATTACCGCCTATATAGGTGCCTAAATCAATTGTAATAAACCCTTTGATACCCAAATTCATTCGTTTTAGTTACAAATTATTAATAAATTGGTTTGCTTGACATATTATAGACTCTGATCGTTAGTTCTAAATCAAACATAGTGGATCTAATTTGTAAGGTCGCCATGATTCCATCAGGCCAAACAGGGCTGAAGTTCCAAGCAGGAATAACTATCGCATTCGTATCGTAACAGTATCGAGCGAGTTAAGCGTTCTGATTGGTTGGTTCACTTGAGCCGGCCAATCAGAGCGCCGAACGCGCTCGATACTATTACATTACGAATGCGATAGTTATTCGTGCTTGGCACTCTGATACCGATACGGAGCCGCGGAAGACTTAACGGGTTACCAGGGCTGCGGCTCGAAGTGCAGGAGTAGGAACTGGGTGGATTTTAGTTAGTCAGTAAGTAAGAGTCTGACACTCCCTCTCGCCCTGACCAGAGGGCCAAGCACAAATAACTATCGCATTCGTATCGTAACAGTATCGAACGAGTTAAGCGTTCTGATTGGTTGGTTCACTTGAGCCGGCCAATCAGAGCGCCAAACGTGCTCGATACTATTACGTTACGAAAGCAATAGTCGTGCTTGGCTCTCAGGGCGGGAGAAGTCATTGGGATGATTTTCCCTCCTCTAAAAAAAAACAGGTCGCCATGATTGCCAGTCAAGCACTTGAGTCAAGGTGTTGAAGGATTCTTCGGTTTAACTCGTGGAAAGTAGATCTACACGAGACACAGTATTCTCTATTCTATTTCATATATCGGCGCTCAAGAGGTTAATTCTTGGGTTTACCCCAAGCGGTCACCGGTGACCTCTCTCCACTGACTACATTATAGACCTTATGTCCGATGTTTAGAGACTACTTTTGTATGAACAAATTTAGGGGATGTTATTTCAACAGGTTAAGCAATGTTTACTGAAACTTACGGATTTAGATGAAACTTGGTATACAGATGATACTAACAAGAACCCGCAACGGAATGACACATGGGCTGCTTTTTGTTCAAAGAACGAGGATGAAGCATCTAGTAGTAGAATAAAATAAGGAGTTAAAACTCATACTCAAATATGTATCTACATAGAAACAAACAGTTATACATAATAACATATTACCTGTGTTAGCAAGAGAGAACACGCCACATTAATTAATAGATGATTGCTTTAGTTATCTCCTGTATACGTGAGACATAACTTGTGTGTGTGTGTGTGTGTGTGTGTGTGTGTGTGTGTTACCCAATAAGTAATTGAGTTTCTGTTCAACTTTTTAATGAAACTCCACCTAATTGTAATTTGATTAGAAATTTTCAAATTAATAAATGATTGAGTGTTGATTTAATTAATTTTGTAACGTTATTTTTTTCTTATTTTTTATCCGTTTCTAAATATGTAATTACAAAACTGAAAACACACTTCCTCAACCTTGGAATTGAACCGGAAACCCCTTGATCACCAATCACTAGGTACTTTTCTACTAAAAATCTCTAAGTAAATAGTTCACTATGTATCCGTTTCAATCATAATAATATGAAATGGCGTAACAACGCTACAAAATCTTATTCAAAGAAAAAATATACTTTTTTCTAAAGATTAGGGCAAAGATCTAGTAAATGTGGAAAAGAAATGAGTTCTTGGAATGAGATAGAGCATGATTCTCTTAAAAATACAACTTCACGTCTCTAGACTCATATCTATTTAAATTGACTTCTCTTGTTTCAGAATAAAAACAAAAACAGAATTGGGTTTTCTGGTATATGTTAGGTAATAACAATACAATACCAACATCTTACTAGATAATAGTTTATTCGAATCTAGTAATAAGACTGCCTCGTTGGCCGAGTGGTCCCAACTGCGACTGCCAGCTGGTGTCATGTGAATGAGAACTTGTATGTTTTTAAACGCACCCGAAGAAAATCCTAGTGTGGAGTAACGTTTTTTAGAAGAACAAATTACCTACCTAACAAGTCAAATTCAATACTTTTTTCGAACTGTCAAAAACGACAATTGTCTATGAATTTTTTTGTGCAAACAGCATACTTATCTCTTAAAAAAATACTGGAAAATTATTAAAATTAAGTTGGTCATAAAATCAATGAATGAAAATGTGATTATTTTTTAATATTTTATTGTATTGAACAGTCGAAAGAATTTATTTTTGACTAACTTTTACCCGCGGCTTCGCTCGCGTCAGCAAAGGTTAAAAAGTAGCCTATCTGACATATACCAATACACACAGCGCCATCTATACCTACCAATAATTTCGTTTTCCCTCGAGAATATCAAATTTTTCCGGGATAAAATACCCTATTATTTAATCTAGACTTCTAACTTCACGTCTGCAAAAATTCAAAGCAATCGGTTTAGTAGTTACGGCGTGAAAGTGGAACAAACAAACAAACAAACAAACTCACTTTCCGATTTATTTAGAAAAACAACTCGAAATCTGAGTTCCACCGTAGCGTAGGTCCAATTTCCCCATGACCTAATTCGTCGACTTAATATTCCGTCGCAGGCCGTTACGTCTTCATAAGTCGCGTTTTTAATCAACAAACCCTTGGAACTCGCTAATTTGAATAACGGATAAAAGGGTTGTTTTAGGGTACCGCACTAATGAATGTGAGAACCGTTGGTAATAGCGCGAATTAAGGATGGGTCACGAATCGGGTCTCGGTCTCAGCCCCGATACCGGTATCAGTTACTAGATCCGTCTAATTCGATATTAGATATCAATTGTCTGGGTAATTTATTTGGCTTCATAATCTTAACTCAATTATGTGCTTTGATTTGTTATACCTACGGAACGGTTTTAATTTTTTTTTTTTAAGAAAGGAGGTTTTTTATTTGTTCTGGTTTTATTCCAATGCTATTTCCGAGCTATTTCATCCATACTGCTCAATGCCTATTGATCGTAGCATGATGTTTAATAGCCTTTCTCTATTAATGAACTATGCAAAACTAAAATATTTTTTGAAATCGGACCAATAGTTCCTGAGATTACTGCGTACAAACAAACAGACAAACTCTTCAGTTTTATTTTACATAATAGTGTAGTATTCCAATATTTAGTGTAGATTGGTCATGGTATATGTATACATCCGTTCGTACCGTAATTATTCTACGTTTCCAATTCTACCTTAAAAGTCGTACAAAACATTTTCTTTTCATCACCCGAAACATTTAAGCATTAAGTCCTCCTTATGCATTTGTATTGTATAAAACTTAAATAAAAAAAAAATTAAAAAATTTAAGCGAATTTTAAAAATCATATTATCATGCATACCAATATCCTACTAACATCGATAAAAGTTTTCTAACACCGAATCTAAACTCCACCGTATCCCATCACTACGGCACTCTAAAACTAGGGCATTAGCATTTTAAACGGCATGTGTTATTGCTCTCAAATTGTTGCGGATCTATTAGTGCGTTGGCCACGGATGCTCAGGATTAAGCTGTTTAGCTAATGGCTCAAAGGCCGCAAAATGAACGCTTTAAAGCCTATTCCTCGCTACTTTTATTAAGTAATACAATGTTATGGGGTATTGTTTACCACTGGCCTTCTACGGTCTAAGATCGGGCAGTGTGCCAGTGGAAGGAGGAAACTTTTTTAATAGTCTAACTTAAAAATAAATATCTAGCAAAAAAATTAAGGTGATTTTGAAAACCCAACCAACAGTTTTTTAGTAAAAAACGATCTATTAATCGGTGACAAAGTCTCGTGATAAATAAGCCCACTAGCAATTTGCACTACAACATAATTAAAAGCTACAACAGGCTACGGGTCCGCCATTCCGCGCGGGCGCACACTTCGCCGCAATTTTTCCATCAACGGGTGGGCACCACAATTATGCGATTTGCATACCTATCGCAGCCGCCACTCGACGCGACGCGTTTTTGTGCGCCAACCCGCTACGCCCTTTCTGTGTACACCGACTGAAATAATTTGTAACTACATGAAGGGAAGTGCCGGCACTATACAAACAGAGGCTGTCCCCGTGTCTCGAACGAAACAAAATTTACAGGCCTTTCTACTAAAGCTCAGCCTATAAAAATCTTTGCTCCATTCCATTAAAAAAAAACAGTGAAAAATATTTGTTGAATAGAAATGAAAGCAAAGCGCCGAGGAAGCCAATTAGATGCTTATTTGTCGCGCACAACTTGTAAAAGTCAATTCAGGAAAGCAGGTCAAAGCGTCCCGGCGAACGAAGAAGGACAGTTTCTTAAGCTGTTCAGATTAAGAAACTCTTTTACTTTATCCCTAACCTAACGTTGACTAACATTGTTCTGAAAGTAACAATTGTGAAGTAAACAGCGTGTATAGGTACCACAATTTGTTCATTAATTCATTATACGAAGCTATCCACAAAAAAATCAAATTTCCGGCGAACATAGTGCAAAACGGTTCAAAACACAACACATCGAAGCACGGGTTTATTGGATTTTAGCGGAAATTTCACTCGCACACGGGATGAAACGAGCAAAACAGCCAACACTGTTTGCGAATCACCTCCGCATATCGAATTTTGATTCCTGATTTGTATCGGAACAACCACCGACCCTATAAATAGGACGGCACGCAGGATGCGCAAATGGAATGCAAAACGTAGCGACCGCAGCGAAACCCTTGTTGTACGGATACAACTACGTTTTGATACCAGGAACAAAAATTGGTTCAGTTTTTAGTGCGCACTACAATCACTGAAATTGTTTTACTTTTGTACAATTGTAAACACACGATATTGCATGTAACCCGGCCTCGTATAAAGTTTCGCTAAAAAGTTAGTCTTAGAAGCAAGTTCGCTCGGCCAGCGGCCCTCATTGCAATAACCGATCCTCGCAGGAGCCAGGCAAACACACAAAACTTGCCCGATGCTATCTTGGATGTCCAATTGAGTTTCGTTCTGCGCCGCTCCTCCATAGAATGCTAATAAACCCACTTAGCCGACAAACTACTGGTAGCTTTGTCTTTAAAAGTAAGGAGATTGTCGGCGTTGCATCTATCAGCAATCTCGTTGTAACAAAATTAAACTCGACTTTGTAATTCTAAAGTCGAATCTCGACTACACTCGGATCTACTTGCTAATTGTTGGAGGGAGGAAACGTAATAAAAGTGCTAGTCTTTGAAGCAAAGAGGCTGGCCTCGAGCGCCTCCGAGGAGCGCATTTTAATAAATTAAAACTGCGCAAAATTCCCATTCCAATATCATTTTATTTTCCTTTTTGCTCCGAGTCCGGCGCTCGCTCGCCTTACATTGATTCTATTTTGCTGAAAGACTATCAATCTACCTTCATCTACGTTTTAAAAATATTTCGTATATTTTCAAAGGAACCTGCTCACATAGGTCTATAATTGAAATTATTCACTTACATTTTAGTGGACAAACGGCCGACCTAACTTTTGCGATTCACTTCACGCTAAACAAAATGTTGCTGCAGAAATTGAGACAGATTTTTGTTGTATATACGTTTAAACTGTATAAGACACGATATCGATCTACTTATAACATATGCAGATAGAATGCTTCGATTTTGTTGAAAGCCGCCAGCGTATACTTAATTATATAATTGTCGTTTGATTTGATGTCAATTGATAAATCGGTCAACTACCTACTTATTATTGTAGCCGTGTGAGAAATCTATCCATTGTGTTATTTCTTAATAGCAATACTGTTTATACTATCTAACGTCTTTTTTTCTAATTCCAGGTGCTGTTAATTTCGCTGGAACTACTGGCATCACGGAGTGGAGCTGCTGCACTGGCCAACTGCCCAGGAGGCTGCAACTGCAACGACGAAACCCTCGTCGTGGTGTGCGAAGAAAGCCGCCTCGACGTCCTCCCTATCGCGCTGAACCCTTCAATACAACGATTAATCATCCGCAATAATAAGATTAAGACTATCGACAGTTCGATGCAGTTCTATGCGGATCTACAACATCTAGATCTCTCACAAAATCACTTAGTTAACATTCCAACGAAAAGTTTCGCATATCAACGCAAACTACAAGAGCTGCATCTGAATCATAACAAGCTATCTTCAGTAACAAACACAACTTTCCAAGGACTTAATCAACTAACCGTTTTGAATTTGAAACGTAACTTCTTGGAGGAGTTAACAAACGGAGTGTTCACTACTCTGCCACGATTAGAAGAACTTAACTTAGGTCAAAACAGAATATCGAGGATTGAGCCCAGAGCCTTCGCTGGATTATCGGCTCTACGGATCTTGTATTTAGACGACAATCAGCTGAGCTCAGTGCCAACCACGTCGTTCAGCCTCTTGGGTAGTCTGGCAGAGCTGCATGTGGGATTGAACGCATTTTCATTCCTGCCTGATGATGCCTTCGCAGGCCTTAATAGACTGACTGTGTTAGATCTAAATGGAGCTGGTCTCTCCAATATTAGTGAATATGCGTTTAGAGGTCTTCCAGGACTAAGAAGTCTCAACCTTTTTGGAAATAGACTCATTACGGTCCCCACACTTCAACTGTCTGGCCTGACAAGATTAGAGGATTTGTATATTGGACAAAATGAATTCATCTCTCTGGAAAGCCATTCATTCAAAGGCTTGAAAAATCTGAAATTACTAGACATCACAGGCGCCACTCAGTTGGAAAGAATTGAAAAAGGAGCGTTCGAAGATAACATCAATTTGGAAACAATTGTTCTTGCAAACAATAAAAAGTTGGCAACCATTGAAGATTGCACACTATTGGGCTTACCAAAATTGAAGCATGTTTCTCTGAGAGATAACGCTATTGTTACATTAAGCGAAACAGTGTTTATTGGAAAAGAGTTGAAGCAATTAGATTTAACTGACAACCCTATCTTCTGCGATTGTCAACTGTTGTGGCTACAACAATTACTGTATGATAAGAGCAATTTCACACAATTACACTGTGCCAGCCCTGAACATCTGAAGGATAAACCTCTAAGAAACTTAAATGCTGATGATTTGGGCTGTGTCCTTCATGACACACGACAGCAAACAATCATCTGCATCGTTGTAGTTGCCTGCGTAGCCACTATTGCGACATTAGTGTTAATATTGTATAGATATCGCAAGAGCATGCAGGAGAAACTCAAAGACTACAAGTGGAACAAGGGGCGTAAAAACCTCGAGTACCATAAGCCCATCTCCACTGAGGAAGACTGCATAGTGCGTGGTATCCACCCATCGCAGTACCCCGCACCCCCACACACTCCCGGCCTCAGGCCTATTCCGGTAACGGAACTGTAGCTAGAGCTTTACGCCTCCCCGAGCGTTTTCTTCATGTCAGGCGGCCAGGGCTCCGCCCGGAGGCCGCAACGCTCGGGGGGCGGCGGCACGCTGCCCGCCAACGGTTTCACGTACATTGGCGGTGACACGCGCCCGCATCAGCCCCTTACGCTAAATAATGGCGCACCGGCTCATCATCTCAACAATGGCTCTTTGCGCTCATTACCCGATAAAAAGAAAAACCGCAACGGCGTCGTCTGCCACCCAGAGAACTTCCAGCGCAATCTCGACACGCGCTATTCGAGGAAGCAGGAGAATGGCTACATGCGCAACTCTGAAACCATTATTGGTTTCCCGCGCAACGAACGCGAGTACGAGCGCGAGCACAGCGAGTACAGCGAGCCCGAGTACTCCATCATCCCGGAGAACGGGTACGGCCGGCCGCTGGACGAGTACCCGCGCGCCTGCTCGCACTCCAACACCTTCAACTGCTGAGTGCAGCACACGTGAACTATCTCAATCGTTTGTGATCTTGTAATTCTAGCAATAAATCTTCATTCCATTAAGTTTTCTATGGACGGAGTCAGTCGTGACGGACGTAGTGCTCTAGAGCGGTTAGTGACATTAGAAATTCGGGTCCGGTGTACGTTCGACCAGTGAGGACTATCCTGTATCGTATTCGTTTTAAAGAGTACCTTATTTGTAAATTATAAATTTAAGTAGTGATGGATCTATTTTTCAATGGGAGGTCGGGGCTCGGAGCGTGTGTAAGTGAGACTTCCACACGAGACAACGGTACAATGTACGGACTAGTCGCAGCAGAGGTGTGGGGGCGCCCTCCATGGTGTACATCATAAAACATTGTGATTTGTAATATTTTCTACCAGTGCGGTGGATTTTGTATTTGATTTTGTACAAAAAACCATTCCATATGATATCTTTTTAATGTCTAATATTTTATTTATAAATGAATAAAGTAAGTGTGCGTTAAATAAGACACCAATATGAAAAATATTAGGATTAAAAAATGTAAATATATTTATACTATATTGAGATATTTATAAAATTTAATACAATCTTGTTCTTCTAAAATTATCATAAAATTATTTCGGGATATTGTATTATTTGCTATAATGACTGATATCCTAATTACGAGATTTCTTATGTCTGTCACTACCTACCTATACTTAGATACCTACTTACACTACATTTCTAGTCGTGTAAGGACGAACGCACCCATTATTTCTAATATGAACACTTCGATCACTTTTATGCTCAATCCTAATATTGTATGTAATAATTTATTAAGATTGAAGTAAACGAAGAAACGATGTCTTATTGCTGTCATTGTTAATTAATTCATTATTTTGTTACCTATTTTCTTTAAGTCCATGCTATGAATGTCGAGTGATCTATTCAGAAATGTGTTACTAAATGCTTAAGCATTACTGATAGCTTCTCAATTACTGCTACGATGCATACCAATTAAGTTAGCCAGTATTAATTAGTTTAATTGCAATCATGTTTAAGCATTGCCTCATTATCTCGATTCGAATTCTGCGATTCAGGAAAAATATTGAATATCGAAATGAGGACACGGATAACGGATGCTTAGTAGTTGAACTAGATTTTTACTTACGACTTAAATGTTTTGCAATATTTACTTTTCTAAATAGATCACAAACATTTACAATAACGTGCCTGTGACGAATTCTCGTCGATGTTACAATAATTAAATGTCTTTGTATGTAAAACTTATTCTTTTCTTCATTTCACTCAAATGTTCTTGCCATATTCCAATAAGACATAATGGTAATATAGAATAGGTATTCGATAGGTAATCACTTTTATTTTGTAGAGAATATTTTAATATCTGTATTATACGTAGATTAAATAAAACGAAAGCGCGCCAAATACATAACAGCTGTCAAAGTCATGTTAATGTTACGTTTAAAGTTTAAAATAAGAACGCAATCTTTTTTATTAAACAAAAAAAAAGTTAATTAAAATGCTAGATACCTTCGTATAGCCATTGCTGTGTCTTCTTGGATTATGGCTGTTTTATACTCCAGTTTTTATATTCCCAAAACGATACATACTTACCTGAATTTTGGTGTTATTGAGTTATTGTAAATAATTATGGAGAAATTAAAGACTAAGCAATTTAGGCATGTGTTAGTGCCTAGTGAATGCCTAAAAATGTATACAAGAAAAATGATGAATACATATGAAAACATTGTGATTAGAGTACTCACGACATTGTAATAGAAATCATCAGTCATTTCTGTACTTTATTGTAGTTATTACCTACATACAAACTCGATAAATATAACATACCTCAAATTTAATTGTGTTTTATTTTTAGACAACCCTTGTAGTAGTCAGACATTATCACGCTTTTTAACCCTGAAGGGGTAGACAGAATAGCACAGAACGGCACTTGATGCCACTGTACAATGTAACACCGACTTTTCACTATTTGTGTTGTAAGTCCCATGTAATAGAGATGAGCCTATTGCCATACCGGGCACAATTCTAGACTCCGTACTACTACTTAGAATTTATAAGAAAGCCAGTTATACTTTACCCGTCCCGGGATCGAACCCGAGACCATTGCCCGGCGGCAGTCGCACTTACAATGACTCAGCGAACGAGGAGGTCAAAAATAGATGCACTTATAAAATCTCAAAATCCTTACTGAAAAATAACCACACACGGTACACCTCTTTAAAAAATAGTAAAAATATATTTGCTATAATGCACGCAGCCGGTGGCACTAGTTGGCCACGCTTCAGGTATGTACCGCAACTTAAAGCGCGGTCGACTAGTTCCGCATACACTATAGTTGCTGGATAGGGTGTGATTGGCCTAATCTGGGTTCGACTCCTGGGCTCATTTTATCGAATGACCGATGCAGTCTATAGTTTTGACCACTGTATTTAGCTAGTGTACATCTGGCATACTTACCTACATAATATGATCATACAAGACTTCCCGATGAGGGTAGGAATGAACTACAGAGCGCCACCTAGTAAAAACCGTACGTACTTCTAGTTACCTCTACATTCAGAATGCTTTCAGAAGAGTAGGTAGGTACGTAAATACTTCTCACCTTTTTTAAATGTCAGCAATATGTGTAGCTCTTTTGGAAATACGATGGTAGGTAGGTATAGTATGTTCTCGAATATTTTAGCAGACTTAAAAGGAGGTTCTTAATTTGACCGTATGTATGTTTGTGCGCGAATATCTCGCAATTGGCTGAACAGTTTTCTGAAAACTGTTCGTTATAGTTATAATATTTTATTACATACCTGTATTAATATCAATTAACCTAAGACTTCAAAAAGAGGTTGAAGTCGGTTTTTTAAACGCAATTTTTATCCTAAGTACAGACAGCTAATAGCCAGAAATGCTATTTGAGTATTATAGCTTTACAAAACAAATCTCATTATAATTATGTCTAAGTAGCACGGAATCGTTCTGATGTGATTAAAGCTCAAACCTTCTCCGTAAAAAGTAGCTTTTGCCAGCAGTGGCCTCTTATTATAGGCCATTGGTGTTGTTGATGATGATTTGCACTGCTACTGCCTCCAGAAATAAAAGGAGTGATGTTGGAGACCAATAATTGAAGTCTTTTCTAAGTCTAATCGTTATTCTCATGGTCTGATAATATCGTCAGTTCCATTTTAAACTGTCAAACACCAAGCGGTCACCGGTGACCGCGACCTATTGTTCTTTAATTGTGTCTATAAAACCGGTACTCGACGAGTTAAATCAGTAATGTGCAATAATTAGAACTAGCTAGACTGAAATACTTAAGTATTTTGGACACCAAACATCAGGATACTAACTGTACAGAATCAATACTAGTTTAGATGACCCCTTGTAAATTGCGGACCATGAGTCATTGAACTTGAGACAACCTTACAATCCTCAATGTGACTCATAGGACATTGACCTTAATTTACACAGCAAAACCTAATTCTAACAAACATAATACTTGCAATGAAACAAAAGTCCGACAAATTGTTAATTAATTTATTTATACTTTTATAGTATGCAACATTTTATTCATTAACATTACAAAATTGTTCAGCCTTGTGATGGGAGAAGCCGGATCCAGCCGATGCGCAGATTGACATGATTTTGTAAATAAATAAAAAAGATATGAGTTTAGGCGCCTGTGTTAGAATTGGAATATTTATTATGAGTAATTCACTTATGCTGTACAATTAGAACTTCTCCTCCTCAAGACCATGTTTGAAGAACATCATGACGGGGATCTGTGTGCCATCTACATCTCTGTACTCCATCATAGCGACCATGCCATCACAGTCCATGGACTCTCCAGTGAAGAACTGGAGCTCCTTAAACCTGCCAAGGATGTCCTTCATGACTTTGTTCATGTTGGTCTTGAAAACGTCAACCTGGTCAGGTGCCTTCTCTTCTAATTTTGCAACTAATCTGAAATTAGAGAATAATTTGTTTTAGTAATTTGAATATTAAAACATTTTATATATCACTCATCAGTCACAGTGATATATTAGAACACAAAAACAGAGTCAGGATTATGGCCATGTGGCTTTTACAAATGAATAAATATAATTCAGTGAAAAGAAAAACTGTTTATTACGCCACGACACACAAGCAGACAACAATACAAGACCACACAAAAAGAAGTGCAGTGCATCGTAGCGCAATAGGCTTGTATAAAAAATAGTTTAAATGTCAGCTCCATTTCATGAACAAACATTACAGAATGAATGTTTTTTCACTAGAGTTCATTGTTCTTGCATCAATCGCTCCACAGGATGACATTGAGAGTCAACCGATGGTATTAGGTGATGCATCAACCCAGTAACTAAGAAACAGGCTAGAGACAAGGTAATTTGTGGTCTTATCTTAATGATGTGTCATTTATTAAGTGTAAAATCTATGAATACTTATGTCATCAATAGTGCATATAAACACTACATAACAGAAAACAACAATCAAGAACATTGTTCAATGTTTTGTGAAAACTAGAAAATGTTTATAAATAAAATCTAGGTTTTATGGCATGTTTCATTTTCCACAGGCAATGTTATAAAAATATACACATGTCTGCATGATGAAACTATGCTTAGTATGTGAAAAATAGCACAACTTCTTAATACTGTTCTATATCAAAACAGCTGAAATCATCTTGAACTTAACCTACACTGATATGCTGTTATCATAACTAGACATTTCAAAATAAAGATAAGAAGTTGATTACATAAATATTGATCATGCCATTCACATGCCCACCATGTGCTGTGCTCAGTGCACAATGGTGAGACAAAAATGTAGACCACTGAATGTGCAATATGGCCGACTCTAACAATAAAATACCATGAATGAACCATCTAAAAGTGGATTGGTAATTTGGAAAATTTAGTAACCAAATTTTATCTCCATTATTAATACTAATGGCTCATGCAACAGAAAACAACTTTGTCAAGAGCAAAAATAACACATGGCATGACTAATGGATTAATATACACAAGTATCATGGCCAATGACAATAAAGATAGTGCAGTATGCACATGCATAGCTCAATGATGATTGGCTGGAAATTAACACAATTTTGGATCTCCCAATCATGTAGTTTGAATTTAAATAAAGAGATTGGCAATCCATGACACATCTATGTTGATTTTAAATGACACAGCATGATTTACAAGGCAGCTGGAACTGGCCTGTGTGCACTCACAACTTACACCTTGTCTTCAAACCTGTCGCACTTTTTACGTTTACACTATTGATAGTTTTATCACCAAGCATTTAGCACTGTTACACTCACTTTTTCATGTAGTCTTTGAGGTATAATGTGTAGGACTTCTTGTCGCCAAAAGCGTATGTTTCGACAAGCCTGTGGTTCAGGACAATGTCAACACCACTTTCGACAGCAGCATCTGTGCCTTCGTCAGCCTCTTCAGCCGAGGGGTTGAAACCTTCGATTTTAATATCGCCCTGTGCTCTCGTCACCAGTTTGCCGGTCACTTCGTAAATTACTTCATCGACCAGCTTCATTTTGTATGTGTCCGAGAACATCTCATCACCTGAAAGAAATCCATGATAAGTTTAGTTTCACTTTCACATCTTGATTATATTAAAACTGTAGATGTGGCAGAATTTAGGAAAGACTGCAGATGAGACATCATCATATCACTTCTTGACTAAATGTCAAATTCACTGTTATCAAATTTATACATTATAAATGAAATATAGACACAAACTTTACAAGAAACACACAATAAACTCAATTACCAGTAATAATATCTTTATAGATCCTCATTTTGATGGATTAGAGGCGATTAAAAATAATAAAAACCGAAACAACGGCTTCTTGCCCCAAGAACTAAACCGGAAAGGGCTATGAAACGAAAAGAAGGAAGTAGGTAATGTTGCCAATTTATAACCCTAGAAAGTTGCCATATGTTATTTTTATAAAATAATTCTTATCAATGCAAACAAATGCAAAATGCAAATTATAAAACTGAATTATTGAATTTTTATGTACATTTTTCATTTTATTCTTAAATAATATAAAAACATTTGCATCAGATATTTTTGGTAAATCATAAATATTTTCAAAAGTTAATTTCTCAAAAAGTTGTGGAAGCGAGAAACTAGACGCGAAATGTCAAATACCATTTCTGAAGAATCCGCAGGAAACAGGTGGCGCCTTTAGTTCATGAAAAGATGGAAGTATTTCTCTACAATTCCAATGTTTGTCGATTATGTGGAGAAGAAAATGATAATGGGACGCTATTATATTCCAATGAAGAAAATAATCAAAACTTATTTAAAGTCATTAATACGTATTTGCCAATCAAGGTATACCACTTTTACTTATTGTGATTTGTATTGACTTCAATCGATGTGAAAATAAAATGGCTGCCTTTTTGCAGAAATTTAACATTTTCTGACTTATTATTGTATTTCATTGAATTAATAACCATAATACGCTACTATAGTGTTAAATCTTATAATTCAATTATTTAGATAATCAGTTTGATAAGTTTGGTTATAAGTGGAAAAAATTGTTACTATATCGTCAAACGTCCTGGAAAAGTAAAGGATATCGCGCCAAGTTTGTTTTATTGTGATAAACAAAACAAAATCTTAAAAATAAATTAATGTTAATTCAAACCGAAAAAATGCTGGTTGCAGGTATCTGATGATGGACAACTACCACGTACTATATGTCCAGGATGCACCATACAGCTAGAGGCCACTGTAGAGTTCCTAAATCTTATTATAAATGGACAAGTAAGTTTATTTTAAATATTAAATTAAATATAATCATAATCCAATAAGACAATTCATATAATTAAATTCAACAAAAATGTATAATGATGAGGAAAAATATATGGCAAGTTTATAGATAAATTACTTAATGTTTACAGAAAGTTATTAGAGAGCTCCACAATAGAGAGAAAGAATACAAAAGAAGTTTATTACTTCCTCCAAGTGAACAGGATATTATAACAGATAAGATTATTTATGAAGGTGAGTGTGACAAAATTAACTATATAAAGATACAAGTAAAGTCTCAATGAAATAAAGTCTTTGCAGTGCTCTTTTATTGTCAATATTATACATCTTAGGACTAAAACTAAATTTGGTAACACAAACAAAAATTGATATTAAATCATTGTTATTCACCTTAATTGGTATGACATTGTTTAATGATTTGCCTCAACAATTTCACTTGGTGTACAATATTCATAAATTAATGTATAAGTTCTTTTATTTCGTCTACATAAACAATTCCCTACCACTTGCAGTAAATACTAGTGATGGTGTGTATCACGTAGAACACCCAATAGCCTTACAAGTTGCTGGACTTGATAAACCTAAACGAAAACGAGGTAGACCTCCAAAAAGGCCTAAAACTGCTGAAGAATTAGCAAGGGAAGCTGCTGCAAAAGAACATGAGGCTAAAAATGCAAAGAGAAATGAGAAAGAAGATGAACCATTTGGTAAAAGACGAAGGAAAACTCCTACAAGGTTCAAGGAGGCTGTTCAGGTGAGTGAAGATTCATAAGTTATGAACGATTTTAATAAGATATTTCTGCTCATACATATCAATAGATTTTAAGTGTTATGGTTTAAGTTCTGGGTGTGATTACATTTGACAATGAAGACAGACAAGCCAATGTCATTCATTGAGTCGTTCTATTATGTGCTATTCTTTTCTTAAATTTTTAATTCTCCTAACTTGATAATAGTAAAACTCTGCTTCAATTTTGTCTTTAATCGGTTTTCTAGGGTAAAGAACTGGAGAGGATTTTCAAAGAAGAAGGAGTCACTGATGGGGAGGAAAGTGAGATGGAGAACCTCAAGGGCCAGCTTATAGACAAGAAGCCGCCAGGACCGAGGGAATCAGAAGTCATTGGTCATTTGGAGGAATCCGGAGAGCTTGTTGTAGTTGTCAAAGGCAAGGGACGTGGACGACCTAAAGGTTAGTAAAACTTGGTAAATACCTCTAATTCATTCGCTTTCACTAATTACTCTACAAATTCATTTCCCTTGTAGCATTTTAAAACTTATATTTTAAATAAAATCCATTTTTTTTTATTTATTTCATTTTTGTCTTCGTCACCCTATTATTTTATTTTATGACTTCAAAACAGAAATATCTGCCAGAAAACAGAAACACTGAAATACCTAAATTAGTCACAATAATATAACATCTTCCAGGACCAATGATCCCAACACGAAAAGAATGCGCCATTTGTGGTATGGAGTTCACATGTACTGGTCGGTACATGTCTCACATAGCCCAGCACGGACCAGTCCTGTACCAATGCGAGCAGTGTTCTGAGACATTCACCACAAGGCTACATTTCAACATCCATCAGAATGAAGTTGGACACACCGGACATAATATTATACCCTGTAAGAAAAACCCAGAGAGAAGTAGGAATAAGGTAAGACAATTATTGCAATTTGTTTAATGTATGAGAAGCTCTGAGAAGTATGTGTGGACTGAAATTGAGTGATCGAGTGAAAAATAGTGTTATTAGAGAAAGGTGTGGATTGAAAGACGATGTGGACGCTGGTTTGGACATGTAGAAAGGATGGATGAAAGTAGAGTAACGAAAGAAGTATACAGAGCGGATATGAATGGAGCCGTCGGTAGAGGGGACGGACATAAAGTGACCAGATTGGCGATATATTAAAGAAGGGCCAAATTAAAAGTACCCTTAACCGACGAGCATGCATGAAAAGATTGATGACTGTTGATGAAGCGACAGAGGTATGTAGGAATCGTAGTAATTGGCGTTCCCTAATCTCTGCCTACCCCCATGGGAGACAGGCGTGAAATTATGTATGTATGTTTAATGTATGTTCACTAAAAATATATTTTTAACCAACTTCAAAAAAGAAGGAGGTTCTCTATTTAACCTGTATGTATGTGTGTTGGTGCGCGCGATTGGCGGTTTTCAGAAAAGTGTTCATTACACTTAGGAAAAGGTTTTAGTATATTAATTAACAAACTTTAAAACCAAGGGTTTGAAGTCGGTGTTCAGTAACATAGTATGTAGTTTATAAAAAAATATTTAGCAAAATTACCTTTCACATCACAGTATATATATAGACGAAAATTGCTCTGACAAAAGATTTTATTCAACAATTATTATTTATTCCGATGTCCTTATTTCCAATAGCAATGTGTTACATTGATGAGAATTATGTACCTACCTGTTACAATTTTGACTAACACATGTTTATCCTATTTCAGAAGGCAAAAGCTCAATTGGAAACAGTGTCAATAGAAGTGGATCCCCTCTCAAATCCTAATACAACGCCAGTACAAACGATAGATAATATGATATTACCAGTAGCTAATTCCTTGCCGGATCTAAATCCGCAGCTTGTTGTAGCAGACAATGAAGTTAGTGCCAGTGACTCCCAGAGGACTGAAAGCCCTAACATTGAAATAGTATCTAGTCCTATTGCTAATAGTGATGTTAAAGTAGTTGGTGAGTATCTGTTTTCTGTCTCTTTACACGATAATTTTTTTATATACTTTTACTTTAATACATTATGACTAAACAACTGAAAAAACATTCTCAGTAGTAGCATTGAGTCTAGAATGGGGATGATGACAGGGTATGAAAATTAAAAATATAATTAGTCCGTAAGTTAGGTAATGAAAAAATATTAGACACGTATTTTTTTATTTTGTCGTATAATAAAACAATACTTAGATAAAACGAATCAAAGTTTAGGAGTGGGGGCTAAAACGTCATTTCTTAGTATAAAATGTACTGAGAAGTGACGTCACGCGACATTTCAAATCAATATATCTTCGAAACTATTCGTTTCTGTGAGAAAATAAAAAATACGTGTCTAATGTTTTTAAATAATCTATCAGACGGACATTAAAATAAAAATTAGTCGTCTACCCTATTGTGCCCGGTATATGGCAATAGGCTCACCCCCTATTACATGGGATTCATAACATAAATAGTGAAAAGTGGGTGTTACATTGTACAGTGGTACAATCTGCACCTCTGCCTACCCCTCGGGGATAAAAGGGGTGATGTTATGTTATGTTAAACAACTGAATTTTATGCAATCAAAAATTTCCTTTTTTAGGGATTACCATACACTATAGGGTTGTCACATATCTCTTAATATGCCATGTTTAATATGAATTAAAATATAAAACCTTTTTTCCAGATTCAGGTACAGATGTAACTGTGACAGAAAAGTCTGATGAAGTAGACCAAGTAGTAACAACTCCTTCCGGTAAACCAAGACTGAAATGTCCGCATTGTGATAAAACATTTAGTAGTAAACAAAGCAAGTCTTTACATATTAAGGTAATATACTTTTTGATAACAGTATTGTTATATTTCATTCGATTCTTCACTGAAACTGCTCCAGTAATCATCGAAACTTCAAAAGTTGTTAAACTTTAGCTTGTAGAAGGCCGACAATGTATCTCATTTCTATAAGATTGGAAACAGTTGATGGTACGGATGTTCTTGGCGGTGTGTCACTTGCCATGAGGCGATACATCTGTTTGCTCCCCTCAGACTTTTAGAGATTTTTTTTATTTGATACTAGCTTTTACCCGCGGCTTCGCTCGCGTCACAAAAGGATAAAAAGTAGCCTATGTGACATATACCAATACACACAGCGCCATCTATACCAATACTTTTGTTTTCCCTCGGGAATATCAATTTTTTCCGGGATAAAAAGTACTCTATTATTTAATCTGGACTTCTAACTTTACGTCTGCAAAAATTCAAAGCAATCGGTTTAGTAGTTCGGCGTGAAAGCGGAACAAACAAACAAACTCACTTTCCGATTTATAATATTAGTAAGGATAAGGATTTATATGAGTGACCCCTATTCTTCCAATACGATGTGCTTACTACCCGCGTCCCCCGTCCCCCGCAGGCGACGCACAAGGGCGAGCGTCCGTACGTGTGTGGCGAGTGCGGCGCGCGGTTCGCGTACCCGCGCTCGCTGGCGCTGCACGCCGTCAGCCATCGCAGGCACAGGTCTACGCCTGCTAAGGGATACGCCTGCGATCTCTGCGGGAAGGTAAGTTTTTAACGTTTAAAATGCCTTCTTTGTCTAGTCGAAATAAATTATTTTACTTTGGTAACAAACAGTCATATTGAACACGTTTTGTGGTCTTAATCGTTGAGTTAAATCCGTACTACATCTTACATACTATCACCATCTTGCAACATTTAGTTTGCCCAATTCCCCAATCTCCCTAATCCCTGAATCCCCAACGAATCTCAAATTCCTAATCCCCAAAAGGCCGGTAACGCACTTGTAACGCCTCTGGTGTTCCGGGTGTCCATGGGCGGCGCCGAATGCTTACCATCAGGTGATCCGTCTGCTCTTTTACCGGTTTATGCCACAAAAAAAAGATAAAGGCATGCAAACTAAGTGCTAAATGCAGTGTTAAGCTGCATAAAAGCTTGTTTTGAAAACGGTTTTAATATTTAATCTTGTTCCCGTGTAGGTGCTGAACCACCCGTCGTCCGTGGTGTACCACAAGGAGGCGCAGCACGCGGGGCAGCGCTACGTGTGCAACAAGTGCGGCAAGTGCTTCAAGCACAGGCAGCTGCTGCAGCGGCACCAGCTCGTGCACTCGCAGGACCGCCCCTACCACTGCAAGGTTACCGCACATTTTTTTTAAGGGGGCAAAATCATCGAATGACTGCTCCCGCCTGGGTGAGGCAGAAGGGAGTGTCAGACTCTTACTGACTAAAAATCACCCCGTTCCTTCTCCTGCACGTCGAGCTGGAGCCCCGGTTACCCGTTAGGTTCTCCGCGACCTGGCATTTGTACTCACTAACTGAACCGCTTATACCATAAAATACTATATAATATGCTAAATAATTATACTTATAAATCAGCTACGGGGACCACCACGACTGAACATAGGCTCTATTCAAGAAAATATTAATAAATTTTATGTAACTGCCTCGTTGGCCGAGTGGTCGCAAGTGCGAATGTCGGGCAAGGGATCTCGGGTTCGATTTCCGAGTCGGGCAAAGTATTACTGGGTTTAAAAAATTCACTTGTAGCACGGAGTCTGGAATTGTGCCAATAGATTGATAGAGTGGTATATGGCAATAGACTCACCCCCTATTACATATGGGACTTATAACATAAATAGTGAAAAGTGGGTGTTACATTGTACAGTGGCATTAAGTGCCGTAATGTGCACCTTTGCCTACCCCTTCGGGGATAAAAGGTATGACGTTATGTTATGTTATTTTATGTAATTTTTTCCAGTTATGTAACTCAACATTCAAGACTAAGGCGAACTTACTGAACCACTCCCTTCTACACAGTGGCGTCAAGAAGTTCTCCTGCGAAATATGCAAGCACAAGTTTGCGCATAAGGCTAGCCTCACGCTGCATATGAGGTGGCATACTGGTAAGAGGAGATTACTGTTACTATTAACTGTTAGCAGGACATCTTGATGAATTTTTGTTCTCTTAAAATGTAAAACCAACATGTTTAGTATCTTATTCATGTACCGTAAAATGGGGTGAATAGGAATCGACAGATGAATAGAGATAAAAGAGGGGTGAATAGATATTGGGAAATTCTTCATAGTATCGATTCACCCCTCTTCTGTCTCTATTCTCCTCTCGATTCCTATTTACCCCATTTTACCGTTACACTTTCTTCGTCCATTATAATTTGTTATACAAGGTAAAATTAGAGGCAGTGAATTGATGTTGAACAGATAGTCACATTGCAGGTCAGAAGCCGTACGCGTGTAATATCTGCGGCAAGAGTTTCAGTCAGAAGGGCAACCTGTCGGAACATGAACGTATCCACACTGGAGAGAAACCGTTCCAGTGCACGCAGTGTCCACGCAAGTTTACCACGTCCAGTCAGTACCGACTGCATGTACGGAGGCATAACTCTGAGAAGCCGTTCGTTTGCACACATTGCGGTAAAAGGTAAGTAACTGCAGTAATTGCGAGATATTTTTTATTACGTTAGCCCTGTAGGACTAACGTTAAATTTATATACGGTAAATTTTCTGAAATTGAATGATGTAAATTTTAGATTCGTATCGCGCGGTTCGTGGGCGGCGCACGTGCGGCGCGAGGCGGGCGGCGCGGGCGCGGGCGCGCGGCCCCACCGCTGCGGCGAGTGCGGGCGCTCGTTCTCGGAGCGCTGGGCGCTGCACAAGCACGCGCGGCACCACACGGGCGAGCGCCCGCACCGCTGCCCGCACTGCCCGCGCGCCTTCGCAGACTGCTCCAACCTCAACAAGCACAAGAAGGTAACGCCACCGCACATTCTCATTCTTACTGACTGTTCTACGAGAACGTCTATAGCATTACGCAGTACACGCCATTAGTAGATGTTCTTTTGCAATATATGTGTAAAAATGCTTTCTCAAAATGTTCTACCTTGGCGGTGCAGATCATGAAGTGAAAACTATCTTCAGTATGTTCAATATTATGACTTGTAAAAATACACTTATTTACACAAACCTTTCTATCTTTCAGCAAGTGCACAAGCAGATCAGTCTACTGGCGACCGCGAACCAACACCAGCTTCCTTCCCCTGTAACTCTAAAGGTGGAGTTACCAGATTCTCCACCAATGCAACTAAAGACGGAACACACTGTACCACTACCTGGCGCTCCTCCCGTTAAAATGCTAGACGAAACCGCAGAGGACGAGTTGGAGGAACGAGTTATTTATGTTACGTATGACGTCGATGGCAGTAACTCACCCGCGTTCCATATACTCGACCCAGAACAAGTGAGTACTTTGAATACAATGAAAGTTTATATGTTATTTAAGCGACAAGACTTGAAAAGACATCACAATTCATTAGGGCACAATTATTACTGCATTCACTACTGGTCTATTAGAGTATTTTACTCTAATTGAAATGTTGTAATAATTCACGAAAGAATATTTATTTTTTAAACCTGATTTCATAGAAGCTTTTGTGTCTTGTTTATGGGTCAACATTACTATTCTGTTGGTTATGTTAATTAACAAAATACTTCTTAATTCTAGGCAGCATCTCTAGAAGATAGTAAAGTGTTAACAACGTGCGAGCTATACCCCGGTCCGTCGCTGCTGGTCCCGCAGCCTGAGTACGAGGAACTGGAGCTCGAGCACGAGCAACTAGAGCTGGAACCCGAGCAGGGAGAACTCGAGCAACTGCCTGAGGAACTTGTGATGGATGGACATGAACATAATATACCTGTAAGTAGCTCCATTATTGTTAGTCTTTTTTTTAAGGAGGGAAAATCATCGAATGACTGCTCCCGCCTGGGTGAGGCGGGAGGGAGTGTCAGACTCTTACTGAGTAAAAACCACCCCGTTCCTTCTCCTGCACGTCGAGCCGGAGCCCCGGTTACCCGTTAGGTTCTCCGCGACTATTATTGTTAGTCTTACATGATAGGTATTTCAGGCGTCTGCCTTCGTACTAGTCTTTAATGTAAGCTATTTTGATAAGGATGGAATAATGATGATGTTAGCCAGTTCGACCATAGAAGATGTAATAGCCTATTATTGCCAATAGGACGTAGTCCGTGATGAGAAAAGTGAGGCAATATCATCCCTGCCTTGCAAGTGGGAAGCGATGCCATATGGCATTCTGGCATGCATGCCCCACTTCATTGTGTTTATACAATTTGTAAGCAAAATCAATCCTGACATCGCATTTATAACTTCGTGTCATTATTTTTAGGTAACAGATGAGCAGGGCAACCCTCTCCACTTCACCATGCAGGACGGTACGCGACTGGCGATTACGTCGGCCGATGGGAAATCATTGCAGGTGATAACTCAAGATGGACAGACCATACCAGTTGAAATAAATGGATTTGCTGATGAGGAGGTATTGTACATATTCCACTTATTTAATTACATATTTCTAAAACTAGAATTTCTATCATTCCCTGAAATTAGATTCTCTATTAAATATGTCGTCGTTGTGATCCAGAGGTTAAGACGCCCGCTTCTCATGCATGAGGGTGCGGGTTCGAAACCTACCAAAGGAAAGTATATATGTATTTTCAAGATTATTTAGACACCACTGACGGTGAAGGATAACATCGTGACGAAACTTGGACTTATAATTTCTAATTATTATTTTGAAATCGCGGACCCGCAATGAGCAAGCGTGGTAATTAATGCTCAAACCTTCTCCCTGTGAGAAGAGGCTTTGCTCAGCACTCAGCAGTGGGCATTTATAGGCTGTTGATGATGATGATTAAATATGAATGGAAAATGTATTTTTTTTTTTTGTTTACAGGAGGTGGATAATCCAGACACGATAGTTCATCAGCTGAACCTTCAGAAAAGCATCGATTCCAACGTCTCGTCGCCGGTCACACATTACTTTACGATCGTTTAATTACTACTCTGTTTACGTTCAATTGCGCTAACGGAAATATGATTGACATTATATGGTAAGTTCAGGCTTACCAACTTATATTATCCCATTACCAATGTTTCCAAAATATCCCATAGGTATATTATTATGTCGTAAACAGAAAGTATTATCATTTTGTACACACAGATTGCAAACGAACATTTTTTATAAAATATAGTTTATACTTTATAATGTATACAATATTAAGCTGTAGCGATATCGCTACAGTTGCAGTAGTTACCATATTTTAATAAATTGCCATTTTGCCACAGTTTTGTGTCACTATTTCAGGGTATAACAATGATATATTGACTTAGAATGTAGTGGGCTCAGCTCTAATTAACCAATTACAATATATGTATGGACGATAGATGAACGGTATACTTTATTACTTCAAGATATTACTAGGTATAATTTGATACTTAAACATCACATTGTAATATCTAATTTGACTTCAAACATCGTATTTGTCTGATTGTTTTTAATTCTATATCTAATTAATTAATAATATTGAAGATTTCAACGGGTCACTGATTATTATTATTAATTTTATTATTTTATTGTGTTGATTATTATTTGCATTTTGTTGCTTATTAATTCCAAATAATTAATTTTGATTATGAATGATGAATATGATCATCGGCCCAACTTGTCACTTCGCGTGAGGTCTATTCAGTAGTGATGGTATTGGTTAATAAATATTTTACAGACTCAATTTGTGGGCTTAAGTTAAATGTTAACAGTAGTCTCATTTCATTTCTCTATACTCTCAGTCGATTAGCGCTAATATTTGGCTTACAACACTATTTATACTAACAAAATGTACTAATCAAACAATAAAACAGGTAACAATTTTTCCGATAATATTAAAATGTCTTCCGTGTTAACCTGTTCCTGTTGTCAATCCTGTATTTGGAAAATAATCTATTTATAAGAAATTCAATTCAATCCTAAATAAATGGAGATTATTATTTGACTATCACCGTGTGGGGAATGGTCATTGATTATACGTGTTTCCGACAAATGAGTGATTGTAAAAATTATGACTTATGTTTATTGCCAACAAAGGCATCTCATTCTATAGGCAACTTTACTCATTGGTCTGATACCAAAAACGTATATAATTTATATTTATTTATTTATTATTAGGTACTAGAAATAAAATTATAAAGAACAAATACAACATTATGACGGGTAAAGTTGCTCATCGAATACGTTTTTATAAATACCTATAAAATTAGGTAGCAAATAAAATGTTTAAGTAATATTTCGGTCAGTGCTGGTAAATTTGGGCAGTAAAGTAAATTTTGTACTACTGGCCAGTCTTAACTCGTCGAGTACCGGTTTTATAGACACAATTAAAGAACAATAGGTCGCGGTCACCGGTGACCGGTGACAGATTAAGTCCAGTATCTAGTAACTTTAATATGTGGGCTAGGTATTTGACAAAAAGACTATTTTATTTCTCTGCCAAGATTACAAGCATTGTATCGAATTTTAACTAATCTAATTTAATTTCGTCGCAAACTTTATTAATTAATTGATCTCTATCAAAATAATCTAATATAATGATTAATTTTATTTCGTTTATATAATTTGTATGTACGTAATTATAATTTTAGGGAATCATTTTAATGGAAATATACCAATTTTAAGTTAGAAAATGCCGTCGTTATCTAGTTAGTATAAGACTTGTACAATAATGAGTCAGTCACAAATGTTTGGCCAATAGATGTAGACAGTATTATAATTCATTCTAATTTAATTGTTATGTAAATATGAATAAAGTTAATTTTTTATTACCAAATTTTGTTTTTTTCTTAAGAAACCTGTACTAAGTTTTTAACCTATGTATATAGTTAAAAATAGACGGGAGGAAAGAAAAAGTCCAAGCAAAAAAGGTTTATGAAATCTGTTCTTGATTTAAAGAAATCAAAAAATTGCTGCGAAGTTGACGTCCGATAGGGACGAGCGTAGCCTTGGTAAGTACCTGTTAGTACGAGAGATGACGACCAAAATTTTTGTCTCATAGCAATACGGCCAAAACCGCCTCAAATCGATAGATACGATTATCCTGAACTCGAAAATACCAATATCAGACATTTTCTGCGTAGCGTTTGATCTGACCAGAAAAACACCAGACAAAAAAAATGTCTCATAGCAATACGTCTGACAACCTTTTTTATTAGTAAATTTTGGTTATTTGATGCGAACAAAACAATTTTCAGACGGAAATGTGAACGCATTAAATATTGAGACCGTTTTGAAAATGGTAACAAATTTTACCGATTGGTATCATGGCAATATGTCTGAAAATTGTTGGACATGATAAAATAAGTTGTCCACATGTGCAAAAAATAAGTGTAGCACCTTCTCTATCAGACAAGTTTTCGACACTCGGATACAATCTAATGATTTTATAGGGTTTTTGCCGTATTGCTATGAGACATGGTTTTGGTCGTCATCTCTCGTACTAGGTATGTGATAAAGGTGGAAAGCAGTAAATATTTCGGGATAATAAAACAAAACATTAATATGAAATTCAATATTATTTCGTTATGGTTTTAAGTAATACAATATATTTGCATACAATATACTATCAGTAGTATATTATTGATGACCAATCATTAAACAATGAAAAATGATATTCATCAATTCTCCTTTAACATTCGTTTAATAAATAGCTGTATACAAAAAAACAATTATTTACAGGATAAGGCAGTACAATTACCACGTAAAATGTGCCTTTCTTAGTTTTAGCTATACAAGCAGTAAAAAAATGGGAATTGAATTAACATTGAATGGGGTCAGTTAAACAAATCTTAGCTCCAGTCAACTTGAACGTAATCACTAACGAGTTAAATATTATAACGAATAAGCGATAATATTAGTTTGTGAACTTGTTACTTTATGTGTGAGGAGACAGTTCTACTAAAACAATATCATTAATGTATCTAAATTATCGACCGTAAACTTTTGGGCTGTTCTATTTTTGAGACAATTTAATCAATTTGGAACGTATCGACCATCTCACTAATACATATGGCAAACATTGCGATTATACACTGAGTAACACATTTGTAACTAACGCAGCATTAATCAACGCATACATACGATACGGAAGCGGTCCGCCGCCACCGCCACGAGCTCGGCACGGGAACTAATTACAACACAAACACGCGGCGCGATACATCACTTACGGAACCGATCGAAGCAAACATAACAAACTCGATTCGAGCCGACATCCTCCCTAACTGTACAATATGACACAGGCACCGCCGGGCCGCCACCGTCCGCCGCCGCCATTCCTACAATTGATTACTATGACTCGAGACTGGTTACAGCTTACTGGCGCCGTCGGACGGGGCGGCCGGTCCAGAACACTTCGGTCGACCACACACCTAACACAAGCAAAATTAACATAATTCTCATGTTCAATAAAAACAGCTTTCGCCGAGGAAACGCACTAACCGACATTTTAAAATACAATGTAATGGACACTGGCACTATTGCCCTACCATAGCGTTTAACTGAAGAGTAAAAAGGCTTGACTCGACTGCCGCCGGCGACTAGATAATGGATTCTTTAAAATTTAGTGTAACGTCTATATGACAAGCGCCATGTCTTTCTTGCTGGGCAGCTGCACCTTCTTGCCCTGCCACAGCGAGTTGTGTATCGTGAACGCGTCGATAGTCACCGTCAGGTGCTTCGTGTGCACTTGCGAGAAGCATTTGCTGCCCGAGTTGTATCTGGAAACAAATGTCACACATTAATATTTTATACACGGACTTGATTACGATTAAATCTATTTATGAGTTGGAGGTAAACTTACTTGAAGAACTTGTCGAACATTCTATCATTGACGTGTTTGGGTCCCGTGCCGTAGAGCTTGGTGACCTGTTCTGTGTCGGGGCAGTAGGAGTAGAGCGCGCGGAACTGGCAGCCCGCGTCCCGGAACAGTACGAGGAAGTGTTTGCTCTCGGAGCGCGCGATCTCCTCGAGCACGCGCCGCTTGGCCTCCGCGTTCACGGCGCCCGGGAACACGCAGTACTCCACTGCGTTCAGCATTATGCCGCGGTTCGACTTCGAGGAAGGTTGTTTGTACAGTCTTGGACCTGAACAGTTTTATAATTAGCATTTGTATTTACTATAATAAATATAGCTCTACACAATGCCGAAAATTATCACAAGCCAAGTTTCCTACAGAATGTTTGTGTTTTGCAAAATAATGATCAAAAACTGTATGCAATCGGTCAGATTCGAAATAATTCTACTAGAATCTGAATAATTGTGAAATAACTTCAAAAGGTTTAATATCAAATCTTATACATTACAATATAACAATATTCAAACACCTATCAATGTAAACTTCAACTTTTACTAAAACTACATCTGAAAGTAAACCCTATGGCTATGTTTAATGTATGTATGTTTATTTACAACTAAATTAGTAAGTACAAAACGATGTAAAATGCACAGTGAATGCACAAGTTAAGTGCCGTGATTATGTGTTAATCTCAAGTCTGGTGAGGAAGCGAGTTTGAAGCGAGACACAATGCAGGTTCGTTAGATCAAATGCTGTTCGCAAAACCATGCCTTAAACATAGATTGGTTCAGTTGGCATGACATCGCTGGAATACGGTGTTTCATCAAGTTTAGTGATTACTGTGTCGATAGTTCTAGAATACGTGTCGGTGGCAGACTAGCTACCTAGTAACTGTATGGTAAGGACCTTTGCGTCGACCTCTATCGGAGCTTCCTAGAGACAAATAATTCCTTGTAATCAGTGGTGTCGGGTTAAATCGGGAAACTCTGTGGTTTAATCGGAGTGTGCATTTTGTTTTATATATTTTACGTATATTTTAATTGGTGCTCCGTATTTAGTGCATTTCTTTGGGTCATTTTTCAACTTAAAATAGATGTTGTCCATATGTAAGTATATATAAAAACAGTCTTAAGATTTCATAAACAGAATTACCAACAACGATGCAAACGCAAAACAAGACTTTACATTTGCATTGTTGTCATCTCAACACTTGTACATATACATAAGTATAAAAGGCGAGGTGTATGCTGACCTGAGTAGTCCATGATGGAGGAGTGCGTGGAGGAAACGTCGGAGTTGTCGTCGTGATGCTGCCTGCGCTTGCCGATGGCGCCGGGCAGCGAGCCGGGCCCCGAGGCGGGCGACCCGAGCGTGCGCACGCCGGGGGACGCGGCGCGCCGCGGCGGAGTCGCGCGACCCAGCCCCGAGTCTGCGGACCACACGCGATATACCTCCGCGATACACTAAGCTGATACAATCTCTATCCAACCCATAACTATTCCCCAATCCTACCTACAATCCCCAACATATACAGTAAAAATATTTTTTTATTCCAACTCCCAATATTATTCACATTTAACGAAATTTCTTTTTTGTTCTTGTGAACTCATTAAATTATATCACAGGATTAATTTATTTAACCCAGACGCTACACTAACCCTGACTAACCCTGGATTAAGAAAAAGTTTTAATTTTATTGACTAGCATATTATTAAAATTAGTATAGAAATGTTTCTTTCATTGCCTATTCCTTTCTTTCTATTTTAATCTTGTTATGAAGCGTAAAATACGAAATGCGTGTCAACACTACGTATAAGGTGACATCTACTGCCGCTGAAGCGAAACTAAAAAGGCATAACTTAACAAAAAGAAGCGACATTTTGTATTTTACGCATAAATACACATGATAAACATATACATACGGGTTTTTATAAAATAATTATGTAATATTTATAACAATTTGTCTAAATAATGTAAACACTTACAACCATAGACGTGTCTCATTATACAGGGCGTACATTTCAAATAAAGCATAGGTTATTTTTATTTTAAGAACCACCATCTAAGTGTGACCAATTTATCCAAATTGTTTTAGTTTTCTGGACTTTCTGGACTGGTCACTGAATAATAGAATTACTTTTTGTTATAGACTTATGTATTCAAATATAATACGATCATATTTTATTTGTATCTGATTATAATAATTATCTAGCATCAATGAAGTTCACATAGCTAAATTTGTACATACACCCTGCATCGCGAGATAGTCCTCCTATTTAGACAACCTCAATATTTTACCTGAATTATGTTAATAGCATTTGGGATATCTAAAATGATCCTACAAGGTTAATATTTTTATAGACCACTAAAGGGGATAAAGTAAAATAAATTGGAACCTTCCTTACCTTTTCCGTTTACCCATCTTACACTAAAATTACTGAAATTAATATTATTAGCATTCTTTTTTAAGTTATTTCTTAGTCACTGAAAGTATAAGTTTCAGTAGAAGATAGAAGTAAAAAGATAATTTAGTAATTAATAAATTAACCACGTTATTTCCCTTTTTAAATATATTATTGACGGTTTTTTATTAAGGTTGTAAAGTGTTTAACGAACGGATAGACGATGTCACACCAACACCAAGATATAAACATATAGATACATATAAACATGCTCTAAGACTATATAGTATAACCATAACCAATTAAACCCTGTACACTATGGGCTATGCAAACACTACGGCAAATAAATAATAATATGAGACACGAATGTCAACTTTATTTGTGTGTATTTAACGTTCATTTTAGAAAGAATAATGGATTGTATCGATGCAAAGGATATTAGACTTTAGACTTTAGAGAGTAAGTTTTCACGTCGATTTTCAAATGAAATTTAAATTGGAAAAGTAAAATAGTGTTTCAAGGAGTGTAAATAGTAAACCATTGTGTACAGGGATAGTATATAATATAATACATTTATGTAATACTTATATATCACCGATGACCCAAATGAAATAAATGTGCACAAGACGAAAGAACGCGGCCGGACGTGGAACAGTGTTGTGTGGTAATATGAGCTCTGTGTCTGTATGAAAACAGTTGATTTTTTATTAAATTTACTATATCTCACTATCTCAGTAAATTAATTATAATGTTTTACGAATGTTACAGAGAATAATGAAATGTTATATGTTTTGTTGGCAGTAGTCAAGTTTATATAGAAAATGCAGAAAATGTGCTATGTGTTATTTGTAACCCTTGTATTTACAAAATAAAACCTTAATAAATTATAGAAAATTACAAGACAAAATATGTTTTACAATTGTGTAACAATATACTAGACAATACAGACACAGAACGTTCCCACCGTGGCACGTGTCCCGCCGGCGCGGGAGCAACAGAAAGTAATCCAACGCACCACAAGCGACGGCAACAATATCCCGTCAGTACCAACGTGAGTCAAGCCTTTATCTCGTGTTACAAACTGCTCTTACCGCACAAATTCATAAGAGAGCTTGACTTCCGTCCCGCCTTAAAGTTACTCTGGTAACTCGTATATTTAGACCTTCCACGTGAAGACTGTGGTTCCTCATTCACGCGCTCTGAAATGTTTCCTATACATGTCAACTCGCAACTCTCATGCAATGCGAACTCCACTCAGTTACTGGGAATGCAGCATTCCATGTGGCCGTCTGCCACGCCAAGCATGCATCGACCACAAGCGAGCTCCAGCTCGGACACAATGGCAAACAAAATTAATGCTATATACCGCGACAATAAAACAACTGTATCACATCACTTCTGTATTTACAAATCGGGAACCAATTTAGTAAATGCGCGGAAGGTCTAGTATCGAAAAATTTGGAAAAAAAGCTTTGTATGGAAATATTGTAACCACTCAACTGTATATTGCAACTACATAATATAATATTGGCCAAAAAAGGGTATCAAGCATAAATCTTTGCAAATCGGAGTGGTGTCTATAATCTATGCGATGCTGAAATCATACACATATAAAATAAATCGATTATAAATATAAATAAATTCAAATCGAAGCGATCTACTAAAACCAAAATGGAAAGAAGCGTCTCAATACACTATAGAGTATCTGGTCGTGTTGCTAATGTCACAGTCGGGAGTTCAATCGAATTCAAGCGAAATTATAGGGTCGTAGCTGTATGTGATACAACTTTAATAAAACAGTTTCATTTCGACGACATGAAAGTTTACATTATTTTTGTTTGGGCGTGCAGTCACTCAAGTTCACTCAATGCATTGACTGAAGATGATTTCATGTCATCGATACAACAAACATCGATCGATATTCATGATTTGTTTTCATATCAAACATCTTTTGAAAATATACTGTCATGGAATGCCGTGATCAAACGTTAGGATTGAAATATCAAAACAAATCACAATTAAATACAAAATGCATCAATACCGTTTGATAAATACCGACTGTTCATAAAAAGAATCGTATTACCATGATGTGACGTCATTATTTATAAACGGTATTGTGTAGCGAAGCGAACGCCGGGTGTTAGTTATTGGCGGGCGAGCGAGAGGGAGCTAGTTCCCTGCGGACAGTAGCGCGCGTGCGACAGAGACAGACTCACCTCGGGACGTCTTGCAGGAACCGCGCCGACCGAGCGGACCGCTCGACGCACTACCCGGAGACATACCGCCGCGGTCCTCTACCGGAGACTCTGAAGATAGAATCCAATACATTTAACACTAAATTCTATAAGGTTCATAAATTAAATAGTATAAATGTTGTGAAAGTGTTCGGTGTAACATTAAGGGAACGATTAAATAAAAGCTTACATTTATAATCATGCTTCAAACTGATATAACTAAAGCATAACAATAAAGTAAAAGCGTTATGCGATTTAAATTATTTGCTGGGACAAACGACTTGCGTTTTACACTGATTAACATTAAGGAAATCACGATTGATCGAAAGTGGTTTGATGTGTTGGTCCTTCAGTATCGATAGGTTAAGATGACCATATTGATGAAGAATAACTTTAAAATTAGAGGCGGGCATTCAGATTTTTGTTTTTCTATGAACTCTCAACACTTTCTAGAACCGTTTCTACCTACAAATAAAGTTTGCCCTCCTCTGTATAAATTCATAAGTCAGTGTAAAGCACAGTCGTGGCCCATAGAGCAGTGTTGGCTTACCCCGGTAGAGGCCGGCGCGCTCGGCGAGACTGTCCTGCGAGCCGCGGTAGTAGTCGCGCCGCATCCCGCCCGCTACACACAACACACTACATGCCCCGCTCTCTGACTCAAGCTGTCTTTCATGCAGTCTCATTTAGACTCCATTATGAATTATTTTAAACTTATATTGGCTTTGTAGGACAGCCAATATAGCAATCGATATATTTATACTTTTCTTAATCATTTTCTACAAGCATACTAAGCATAAGCTTTAAATATGATTACGGTTGTATAGAGACCACATCAAAGACGCTGATTTGTGTACAATAAATTAATATTTAGATTTGGCAACACTTTTAGCGTAACAAATTGGGCTGGAAAACATAAAAAATGGCAGCATGCCAGACGGCAAATTAATATTGTAAGAGGGATAAGCTGACATTTAGTGCGGCTCCAAAACGTTAAAAGGAATTAGCGAAATGTAATGTGTACAGTTTTGAATTTGTTGAAAGTTGAACTTGCTTTTGCCCGCGAGGTTTCGTTATACAGTAATTTTGGAATATAAAAATTAAAAATCCAATAAAATTGTAAAGTGTAAAAATAACATCAAAACGCGTGTCAGCACTGCTAGGCGTGGTCAACACAGAACAACAGGGTGCTACACAAACAACGACGTGACGTCACACTATATGACATCGTGAGCTTCATACATTTATCAGACTGGTATTACTGGTGACGTCATCTGCAGTAACCTAGTGTAGTAGGGTAGTTGGTGTAGTGTAAGTGTGCCAGACAGTGTACCTGTGAGGTTTGTGGAGGAAGGTTGCTTGGTAGCGAGCATTCCCTCGGCGGCGTGTAGTACAGTACTGTCGACGTGGATAGTCTTAGGCCGCGCGCGCGCCGCCGCCGCCTTACTGCGCAGTCGCGCCGCGCCACCCGTCGGCGTCGGCGTCGGCGCTACTGAATTACCGCGGTTTAGACTCTCCAGGAACTCGGATTTGTCTATGTGCTTGCCCTGAAAGTTGGTTTAAGTTCGGTTATTAATAGTTGTGTAAAACAGTAGATTAAAAACTCATTGTAAATAATTTCACACTAAAATTATTAAGATTGACGTAAATTTTGACACTTGTCAGTGTCATCCCCATACATTTTGATTTCTACTCTCTCTCTCTCTCTCTCTCTCTCTAGACAAGCGCTAAAGTGGCGTTTGGCTAAAGGCACAGGATACGTACCTCCCGCTCAGCCTCCTCGATGGCCTTCTTGAGCTTGTACTGGTGCAGGATGGCCTCCCGGCGGCGCGCCTGCTCCTCCTTGCGCGCCTGCTTGAGTTCGTTGGCGGCGTCGTCCCGCGCGCGGCGCGCGGCGGCGGCGGCGTCGGCCCGCGCGCGCGCCTCGTCCGCGCGCTGCCGCCGCTGCAGCGACAGCAACATTATGCGCTCCTTCTTGCGCTCCATCTCCTCCGCCGAGTTCTGGAACATGAGATCAAGATCTATGTCATTTCAGTGTCCACACGAATACAACGACACGTTCCACAACAAAGTAGTCACTCACCGGGTCAGGATTCAACTCGCCGATGATTAAGGCTGCGGGCTCCGCATTGTTGGCTCGTTGGGGTCGTTCTCTAGGTGGCGTTTCTCTGCGCTCCGAAGAAACGTCATTAGATCGTATCGTTTGTTCCAACCCTGTACTCCTGTGGACCACGAACTCTTCCTCGCGCGCGGGCTGCGGTAGTCGCTCGTTCCACGTGTTCTCTGGACTTCGTTCCGGACTGATCTCCGTCGACCGTTCCTTCTTCGGCGAGCCTCGTTTCGCTCGTAAAGGAGGTTTCGGCCGCTTCGGTTGATCGTTATCGAACGAAATGTAGAACCCTTTCTCGTTCGGTTCGCTAGGCTCCTCCTGCTCGAGCTGCTGGAACGAGTTTCTACTGAGGGACGGCCTCGTCGGGGAGGGGATGCGGTAAGTTCGCGTGCCCGACGAGATATTCAGTCTATTGATGCCTTGCCGAAGAGCGTCGTCCTCGGCGTTGCCGATGAAGGAGATGTTCTGCGGCTCCATGTCGTCGGGCGGCGCGGGCTGCGGCGCGGGCTGCGGCGCGGCCTGCAGCTGCATGAGGCTGACGGGCTCGGCGCGGCGGGCCACCTCGGGCAGGGAGCCCTGGCGCTGCGGCGTCTTGGCGCGCCGCACGGGGGACGCGGCCAGCGGCGGGGACTGGGACACGTACTGGTTGGGGTTTATCACAGTGTAGCTTAAATGGTTTTGTGGTTCTCGAATGTTCTCGGTGCCGTTCTGGTACCGGTCGTTGTTGTAGTGCACTTGGAACGGTTGTTGCTGTTGGTTGGTTCTGTCGTGCAGTACGAAGCCTTGCGGTTGCCAATTCCGGTCCGGTGGCGGCTGGGGTGATGGAGACTTCCACGTCCTCTGTGGAGGCTCCGGTGTCGAGGGACCAAACTGTTGATGTTGCGGATGTTGTTGATGCTGCGGATGTTGTTGATGCTGCAGATGCTGTTGATGCTGCTGATGCTGTTGATGCTGTTGATGTTGTTGATGCTGCTGATGCTGTTGATGTTGCTGTTGATGCTGTTGTTGGTGATTTTGTTGTTGATGAAGCTGAAATTATAGCGTTAAAGCATTGAGAGCGTGTCGAGTGACCGTTTTCTATAAAACCCACACCTTTGTGCTGGTGACAAGTTGTGGCTTGGAAGCTTGTGGCTTGCGACCTAGCTCATCATTTACACAGTTAATTGTATCGTTGAAATGGATTACAATTCAAGAAGAATATAATTGTCAACAATGGCAAACAAATCTCGTCGTTAAAGACATTACGGAGTGTGTGGTGCGACCGACCTGCCAGGCCCCTTGTTGTTGCTGTATCTGGGCATGTTGCGCCCAGGTGCGGCGCGGCGGGGGCGCGGCGTCGTGCAGATAGAACTGTTGCTGTCCGTAGTCCTCGATGTCCCTGTACTGGTTGTACTGGTACTGGTCGTAGTTGTAGTGTTGTTGCTGGAATTCGCGCGGAATGTGTGGCGTGGAGCCGAAGCTGGCGAGCCCGGGCCGGGACACATTGTGCTGTGAGCTGAATTGGCTGTGCTGCAATGTTACGGCGGGTCAGCCAGGGCCAGCTGAGGCAAGTCTCGCAATCTCTCACGTGTTACATGTATTCAATATTAGCCAATATGGTGTACATGAAACTAAATATCATTCATTCTTAAAAAATATATGAGTAATTTTGTTTGTTCAGGGTTTTGTATGGAGAGAATTGTGAGACGTATCCTCAAATAAATGTATGATGCATGTGAGTGTGTGATTACATAATGCGGTATGAAGCGCTGAAACTTTATTACTGTCAATTAATTACAAATCAAACTTTAAAATCACGCAATTATTATGTTAGCTGTGCTGTTCTTTAATATTCGAGTTTAAGTTTTCATTTAAATGTAATAGTTATTATTATTGTGGATTGGTTCACACAAAGCTTTGTGTTTGGAAAACTAAGTTTTACACAAATGTTAATAAAGTTCAGATAAGATGTTTGCGCAACTTCCCATTTTTTGCGCTACTTAGTAACATGTTTGCGCATGTTTGCGCACGATTGAAATTATTATACATAAATAATATTCGTAAAACTTAAGACTCCAAACACAACACAAACGTGTATTTTGCGCAACACCACAATACAATTATATATAACTCACCAGTTGTGGAATGTTGGGTTGATACTGTTGTTGTTGTTGGTGTTGCTGGTACGGCGACTGAGGTTGTTGTGGCTGCATCTGTTGCATCGGTTGTTGCAGTAGCGGTTGCTGGAACAGCTGTTTGGCCTGTTGTTGCTGTTGCTGCTGGTGCTGCTGTTGCTGCAACTGCGTCTGTTGGCTGGCGAGGCGCGCGATGTCGCTCTGTATGTCCTGCAGGCTGGAGTTCATTCTGTAAGTTTCATGCAGTCACATGGTGGTGGATTTAACGCCAATTAAGCTAGTATAAGTATGGTTTTATGATTGATTTTTGAATGGCGATGGTCGATTTAAAGAAAATGTTTATCATTAATTTTCTTAGTAAAAATGTATACTGAAACTTTAATCATTTTGTTAAAAATAGTGTTTACTTACTTGGCAATAGATTGTTGGTACTGTTCTAACACCACGTTGTCGACTGTATCCCGCTGACTCGGTGGGTCCACCACCAATTCCTATAGATTACACATTTTTAGGACCATTATTACGAAAACCATAGTACTATCATATTCAATTTCTATCATTTTGAACTATATTGTTGACAATTTATTAAACTACGTCCATTAAATATAGGCTGCTCAATTTAATTGGAAGAAACTCGTTACTTACACTACCGCTCAAAAGTATTTGGCCACTTGCACTTTTGATATTACCACCAACTATATTTCATTAAAAACAATTTTATTATGTTCCAATGTTTGTATTTCATCGTAAAATACTTATCTACATTCAAATAAGGTAAACAGCTTATTGTTATTGGCGAATTCCTGGTCGTAATATCAAGATAGTGTTATTGCCGGAATTTTCTTCAAAATTTAATTTTAATTTCACTTTCTTTTTAATTACATTTTTAAGAAATAAATTAGTTGGTACCGTGGAACAATTACTAGAGATTGAAAAACCTTAGTTATTTGATGTCATTGGACCAGAAATCAGGCTCTCCAACTCAACAATTGAAGTCTAGTAACATTTTTTTGTCATTCGCGCGTTAAGTTTTGTTTTTTTGGTGAAAATGGGTAAAACGAAGGAACATTCTCAAGAGACCAGAGGCATTATAATCGGTCTTCATAAATCCGGTAAAAGTAATCGTGAGATATCAAGATTGCAGAAGATACCAAGGCAAACTGTTGACTACATTGTCAAGAAATTTGCGTCTGAAGGAACAATTTGCAACAGTCTTCGTCCAGGTAGACCAAGAGCCACCACTTCGAGTGAAAATTTGAATATTGTTGTCAAAAGCAAACGGAATAGACGATTAACCGCACCAGAAATAGCAGCACAATTCAACATAGGGCGTGATAAACCAGTGAGTGTGTCTACAATCAAAAGAAGACTCCTTGACGCAGGACTTAAAGGATGCGTAGCGGTCTCAAAACCACTTCTTAAAGCTGTTAATAAAAAGAAGAGACTACATTGGGCTAAGGAACACAAGAATTGGACAACAGAAGATTGGGAAAAGGTTCTCTGGACGGATGAATCGAAATTTGAAATTTTTGGATCTAAGCGAAGAGTTTTCGTACGCCGGCAGTCTAATGAAAGGTGATCGACGCTTGTACTGTGGCTTCTGTTAAACACGGCGGAGGGTCTGTGATGGTTTGGGGCTGTTTTGGTGGCTCCTCTGTTGGAGATCTTGTACGGATACAGGGAATCTTAAAAAAAGAAGGTTACAAAAGCATATTAGAGAATAGTGGAGTACCGTCAGGAACCCGTTTAATTGGTTCGGGATTTGTATTTCAGCAGGATAATGATCCTAAACACACGTCGAAACTCTGCAAGGACTTTTTAAAAGGGAAAAGAACAACAAAATGTCTTGAAACTCATGACGTGGCCTCCGCAGTCCGACCCCTCAACCTCATCGAATTATTGTGGGATCAGTTAGATAGACAAGTGCGAAAATGTTGTCCTACATCTCAGGAAGACTTATGGAGAAAGTTACAAGAAGAATGGCAGAAGATAACTAAGACGACACTGGAGAAATTAATTGCAAGGATGCCAAAGCTTTGTGATGCCGTAATTAAAAACAAAGGTGGACATATAGATGAGTCTAAAATTTAGGAAACGTGTTATGTTTAATACTTAGAATAGTGTTAATAAATAGTTTAAAATATTATAGAGCAGTTTCATTTATTCAATCTTTCACAAAATGTATTTTACAGGGTGGCCAAATACTTTTGAGCGGTAGTGTATGTCATTCGTTTTTACGAAGTTGTTTCGTAAGTGACTTTTTGTCTACAAACATGCAATTTAATCACAAACTCATGCCAATTAATCATTTGCATTCGTGAGTTAATCTCGTAATCCCTTTACCAGATATATAAAAATATTATCTTCAAAATAATGACCGATGCAACGAGACCATAATAATTAATGTCTCATATGTAATTCAACTTTATTGCTTACCGTATAGAGTTTAAAATTGTTTTATGAACAAATCTAAAAATAAAATAAAGCTATACACAACACACAATATGATAAATTAAAACTTTTATGTATTATATTTACACCCATTTAATGATTCCCCAAAATGTACACCCGAAGCTTACAAACATGGAAGCAGTGTTGCTGTAACAATAGCTGTATCGTTGCATCACCCACAACTATAATAAGGAAAACGAGACGAAAGGGTATAGCGAGGTAAGGAGCACGAAATGGCCCCCACGGCCCATGACGGAATTATCATTTGTACTGGTATTGGCACTCTAAAACAATACGAAATGTAAGGTCGTTGACCCCTGACCTTGACCTGTCTTTGAGATATTCGAGAAAGTTCGAATGCGCGCCGATTTTTTTCATATTTTTTTTTTCGAAAAACTATAAAAGCTAGAAGGATGGGACCAATTGCGTATAATGAGGGATACTTTGAAAAATATTCTGTATTTTTTTCAGAGTTCTCGTGAAATGACAACTGTATAAAATAATTAAACAAAATATAAATAATTTTTTTTAGTACTGTTCTATTATGTCTACCGCGCCAAAAAAAATATATAATACTCTTTGATTTATATACTTATACCATACAAAAGCTGATCAAAATCAAAGAGGCGCTTCTTGAGTAATTATGAGAATTACTTAGTGTGCGTATGGCTGGTAGGAACTAATTAAAGAGGTCATTTTTGGATTAATTATTATAATTACATGTTGAACATAATTTTAATCATCATCATCACTATTTTCATTTATCACAACATTGACGGCATCATTTGAAAATATTTTCGACAGAATTTCAGCAGGACGTAAAATGCGAGATAGATATCGCGCATGAGCTAAATAATATATTACACTTGCGACATGAGCGCAGCATCCAACTGTCCTGTTTCCATTCGGACAATCACAACAATATCCTCGGATTCCTTCGACACTGTTCATATTAGGAACATAATCAATGAACAATCGGTAATATTTACTATTTACATGTCTGGAACGAACATTTAACTTGATGATAGTTGGGGTTTGTTTGACGTAATATATATAGAGATTGCTCTTGTCGTCCAATATTTCAGCGAGGTATGAAACAGCTAATGAGAGCTGATAGGAACCTGTAAATAATATTCTTAATTGTTCTTCGTTTAGTCTTGGAAAATCTAAAATTTCTGATGACACCAGTTGTTGAACAGCCGTTTTTCTTCGATTCCAGTGCTGCTTTTCTACCTCTTCACTTAAAGAATTTGGTAACGCCAGTCGCTCTTTAAAGTATTGAACAATTGTCTCATTTAAGCCTGTATCAGAATCCAATCGCTTACTGAATTTGTTGTGTAAAAATCCAACAACTTTGCATAATAGACTTACTTTTGGAAGCATTTTATTATCAAGATTGTTATGAAGCAAATTATATTTCTGAGCAATAGCTCCGTGCACAGCTTCGACTACCCATCGGATTTTAGTCACTTGTCGTGACATATTGGCTTCATCGGTAGGTAACTGGGCTCGATTACCTTTAATCGCCGGCATTAACAAGGTGTAGCCTTCTTTGGTGATGTCGCCGACGGCGTCACGAAATCCACGATCTACGACAAATACATCATTCCGACGTAATAGAGTTTTAAGTTTAGCATCCTGTAACACTTTCTTCATAATAGTGGCATCATTTTCCGTTCCATAAAATGGCCCAGCAAAATCAACTATAAACCCGTTCGTAGTACAGATTGTGAACGGTTTGCATAAATGGGTTTTCTTTTGCCCAGAATACGATTTTCTCTGGTATTCATTGTTAAAACTTTTTTGATGCCTGATATAAGTGCCGTCAAATATCAATACCAGCTGATCATCTCTAAGGTTCAATAACATTCGAGCTGTTAAACTTGTGTTCTTTATTAAATCTTCTCGAGAAACGGAGGTTAATCCAAAATGAAGCAAAATATCAGTCTTAAAACTTCTTAATACTTCCTTAAAAAATATCGACACATGTTGTTCGTATGGTAAACCCAGCACTCCTGCTATCACTGAATTAGAATTTCCAGTTTTTAATTTAAACAAGAATACAACTAACGCTTGAGTCACAGTGCGTATGCTTGTGTTTCGCATAGAAGTCAATAGCTGTCTTAATTCAATAATGTTTTGCCAACAAAGCCCTGTCAATATCCTTATCTGATTTTCAGACATATCATTTTCAATTTTGTCGAAAAGCGACATCCCTGCTCTTTCTGAAAGTGATTTTAAAAAATGAGCAACTTCTTTAGAGTTCATTTTACTGGTGTTAGATACTACACGTAGGTGCACCAACTCGTCTTTATAAAAGTTTTTTCCTATTATATGTGTGCAGCAACAACGGTTATCCTCTGGTATAAAAATCCCAATGTTTGTATAAGCCTCGTAACGCGCTTCAAATGGTACTCGCATTAAGTTTGTTGTGGATCGACATAATTATACAACAATACTTGTGGGTGGATACAACACGTGGTATATGTACATATATAAATTCGTCGTCTTGGGCAACATGCGAAAAAACAACATCGCCATCATCATCATCATCGTGGTCGCTTTCGGAACTGCATGGTAAATTCATTTCACATTCTTGTTGGAATGAAGCATTAGAAGATGTTTCCCCAACTGCTAAGTGATCACCAGACTCCTGTTCGCCTTCACACTCTACCAGGGTAGATGCCGCAGAAGTTGATGCAACGTTTGATTTGCTATTGTAAATAATTAGCCGACACTTTCCACACAATACGTCACCAACAGAAACTGTTTTTTTACTCGAGTCACTATATAGTCTAGCGTTCTCTTCACTAGTGATAACTTTTTTTCTTCCGCGAACTTTATGCACGAAAGTGTCACAAATAATACAGTTCACAAACATTGTTATCACCCGTGGTTATCACCATACAACTTGCGACAGGAATACGCAATTATTCTCACCGAATGACCTATTAGGTAATTTATATTTGTGTGTGGTTTCCTTAACACGGAAGACTAAAGCAACCATGCGTGAAATCGTATTTGTAATGACACGAATACACTTATAATAATCTATTGAACATGAATAAACACGTTTGTCTAGTCCGCGCGAAGCGGCTGGGCGGGCGCCCACTGTACACGATCGAACAAGTTTTCTTTAGATATTACTCAAGAAGCGCCTCTTTGATTTTGATCAGCTTTTGTATGGTATAAGTATATAAATCAAAGAGTATTATATTTTTTTTTGGCGCGGTAGACATAATAGAACAGTACTAAAAAAAAATATTTATATTTTGTTTAATTATTTTATACAGTTGTCATTTCACGAGAACTCTGAAAAAAATACAGAATATTTTTCAAAGTATCCCTCATTATACGCAATTGGTCCCATCCTTCTAGCTTTTATAGTTTTTCGAAAAAAAAAATATGAAAAAAATCGGCGCGCATTCGAACTTTCTCGAATATCTCAAAGACAGGTCAAGGTCAGGGGTCAACGACCTTACATTTCGTATTGTTTTAGAGTGCCAATACCAGTACAAATGATAATTCCGTCATGGGCCGTGGGGGCCATTTCGTGCTCCTTACCTCGCTATACCCTTTATAGCTTCAGTTTCTTATTTTAGTATCAATATTTAGTATCAATAACACTAAAAAAGTATGAGAACAATGATGAGAACTTTATAGACCTGCTTTTGACGGTTGTAAAGTAATTATTGGCGAACTGTTTACTGTTCCCGTTGATATATTTTAGAATTTTTTCTATGAAATGCCATCATAAAGCATTTCAGCAACAATAGTCTTAGCAATGAATGTTACAATGTCGTCTCGTCCCTCAGTATGGCCTCACCTGTTGCGGCGGCAGGTCCTGCTTGTTGTCGTCGTCGTGCGGCGTGCGCGCGCCCTTGCCCTGCAACACGCGCGTGCAACCGACACCGTAACACAACGCTACGTCACGTCGCCATGCTGGGGCTCCAGTATATCGATTCGAGGGTTGGAATTTTACAAATTTCGAAGGTACTATAAGGCTTCTTTGCTAGATGGTTCTAGTTCTTTTTTTTGAGTAAATTAAGACATTGTATTTTCATAACTTGCCTTGAGCATTAATGGCGATTAATGTTCATTCTTCCTCTGTGTGAAATTTGTTTATTCTTAGACTGATATGCCTATTACCAGGCTAATGATTACGATAATTATTGTCCTTAACTCTATGAATTAAAAAAACGTCTTTAACTTACTGTGGTTTTCATAATCTGTCCATTTTCATCATGAAAGTATGACAATAGCACAGTATTTAACTTTCAGAACACAGTTTCATATAGATTCAAAATTTTTCAAATTCCGTAGATCATAACTACTAATTTTACTAGAACCATCTACTTTGAACTTTAGGATTTAGTATTTATTCTTCAATTTGATGATAGAAATATCGATATATTGGAACCAACGGAGTCATGCTTAAAATTACGAATAAGGTGTAAAGTATGGATCTTTCTTGTATTAATTAATGTGCTTTTTGGAAACGTGAGTCAGTTGTACCGTGACGTGGTGGGGATGTCGACATTACAGGAGACAGGAATCAATTTCATTACCTTCGATTTTCTGTAGTACTAAGATTATTGAAAAACATGATTGTGCTGCAACATATTCATGAGTTCGACATTATAATGATTTTTATAAAAAAGCAGCATCTATTTGACAAATTCTAGGGTCGTAAGCTACCGTATTTAAAGCATGTAATATCAAAATTACAAATCGAGGCCAAATATTACATGAAAATTTATACTTGATTTACTTTAAAGATTCAAAATTTAAATGGGTCAATGTTATGTATCGAATAAGCCGTGTAAGCGTGTCCGAACAAAAATCTGTACAAAATAACGACAAAGGAATGGTAACGAAGTGATAATAAAACAAAGTAATTATCAAAAAGGTCTAAACTAAACGGAAAAGGTTCATGTGATGAACCGGCCACTCACCAAGGAGGCCAACTGGTATTGCAATAATGTATCCTAATGAAATAGAAAGAAAAACTTAATTTACATATCCATCGGAATATTAGAAAACAAATTGAGAGAAGGAACATAATATTAGTAACATTGTGCTGTTTCTGAACACATTTTATAGAACATTTTTTGGAAATTGGTTTTATAAAATGCGTTCTAGAACTGTGTGTAGTCTGTTAGACAATAACATATAATTCAATAACAATTAACTGGGGTTATTCAAGTACATAATTATGTTATTTTACTAGTTTAGTTTCTTTTGTGATTTATTCTACAAACTACTAAACGTAATACTGCAAAATAACACACCAAAAAATATAAATTTAATTTTCCCCTTACGTTTTTAACCGGTGGAATCTAACTACGAAACTGTCACTCGCACTCACACTCGATTTAATTCAACTTATGGCGTATAGACAGACACAAATCGCCAATCCCGCTTTCAAAAGACATTACAAAACCCTTTTAACGCCGTATACCCCAAACACAGACTAGTTAGGGCATCGAATTCTCAATAAGTAAACCGCGTATATGAATGACATACAAAATCCAACTTTAACACTAAAATTATAAAATTAGTTTTCGCATGAAGTAATAGTGTTTGTTGCAGGAAATGTTTTTTTTTTATAAAAAAATTAACAAATCATTAGCATAGAAAATTATTGTTTTCAAATCTTTATTACACCATATATTAAGTGCGAGATAGAGACATCAGTTACAACGATGAAGACTAGGCTTACAATCAATCACATTTTTCATAAGATCTGTTTGAGAATCCGATGCCCCAATACTATAATGTACCACAGGCATATCATCTCCACAGTATGTACTCCGCATCGCACTCAGTACTCACCCTAGTAACTGCTTGTAAGAAGGCCTGTTGTCCTAACTGTTGCCTCTGCCTGTTGACGGCCATTTCCATACGTCGTTTCTCTTGCTCTATGCGTCGCCGTTTCTCTTCTAGCTTTAATCGAATATTATTTAGTTGAGCGGCCATTTGTCCCCCACTTGATGTCGTTGATTCGTCTGCTATGTCTTCGCCGTCTGAAACCGTAGAATAATTATTATGGTGAGTGGTTGTTAAAGAAATGTAAGGAATGGAGTGATTTCTGTCTACTCTGTAGTTTTGTAACATTGAAATCAATAGTATAGGTAGAATGTATTTTTTATGTTTCATAATTTCATTTTTTGGGTATTGTTGAAGAAGGAACGTAAAGAGTGAAATGATTTAGTGTAGGTTTTGTAATATTGAGATCTATAATGATTAGTGTTATTACTATCGGGGCATTAATATGAAACAGCAGTAATACAAGGAGTATACAAGAACGCAGTACTGACTGGGTTGCGCGTCGTGCTGCAGCACCTGTTGCTGCCACGTGGTGGTGGCGGGCGCCGCGAACGTGCCACTGTTGCGGCGCTCCACGCCCGCGCCTGCAACACGCGCCGTACTCACTACTCTCTACTGTACTGTCGGCTACTCTACCGCTACGTGGACTCATCAATATACAACATGGGAATATGTGGTCTTTTAACGACAGACTGTTCTCACGGAGTGCTTGTCATCTTATTGCCAAATACAGTGTGCCGTTAAACACAAGCGCAATCCAGGCAAACATTCAAAGCGATTAATAATGGCCGAAGTTTCAAATTTTGTGCCGCTGAAGCGAAATCTCAGGCTAAGAGGATGGGAGAACAAACTGCTCATGCAAAACTTTAGTACTTTAGATAAACATGATTGTTTTCCCATGGGTTTTGCGCGCTGCAAACAACAAACCTGACTGGTCACCATTACTCCTGATTTTATTGAGATCAGCGAAGCTAGTTTTGGTGATATCTCCGTCCGTGGAGTCCCGGTCGTTGAGGAAGAACCCGCCGTCCCCGCCGCCCTTGCACTGGAACCCAAAGTTCTCCTGCCTCTCCCTTAGCGTTATTGTATCACTGCTCAGTTGCCTTCGAATAGGGAAGTAAGGTTCATTATCTGTATTCTGAGGGTTCGAGTTCTGTCGTTCGACCTTCTGTTTTTCTTCAGTCTGAGAGCCATTTTGGAAATCACCGTGAAAGAACTGTATCGACCCTCGGATGTCTTGACGGGATGAACGGAGAGGCGGGTTGTAGTCAAGAGGTCCTGTTCAGAAACACAGATTAATTAGATTAATAATGTTTTAATGGATTGTTTCTTGTTTGGACAGTTTAACTGTCTTCAACTCGTATACCAAACATAAAAGTGAACAATTTCACACAAAATTCTGAAAACTCAATATTTACGGTCTACTTAAGAAGTAAAATAATTAGCGTAGTTTTTGCGAAGTATCTAAGCAGACTGCAAATTGAATTAAAAAATATATCACTGTGTAACTTACCCGAAGGAGCGGAGATCTTCCTAACATTAGCGACAGTAGCGAGTTCTTTCTCGGGGTTTCTACCGGCGAAGTGTAGTCGGTCCTGTGATCCTCCAAAGTTCTCGACAGTGAGCTGCGAGTCGTCCGATATAGACGAGCGCCGCGACCGTCGCCCCGCGAACGACGCGTCGCGGGACTCCGCCCAGTTCGACGGACGACCCGCCGCCGTCATGGGCATCTCTAGCGCTGTGTGGGGAATAAGAGAGTGTGAGGAGTAACGTCTATAATTAAATGTACAGCATATTGGACTGAACATATTGTGTCGGTGATCTTTTGCTATCGAAAGGCAATAAACATACCAGTTGAAATTTTTCCCGACAGTTTCGTATGTAAATCCTACGCAATAGAATTAATAGTGATCCACCGATCATTTCAAATACCGAAAAACTAAACACTTTTATCTTCACACTATTTTCTAGCCAGTCGCACTTGCGACCACAGCGTCAAGTTACCATATAAATTCGACAATAAAGTTAACAAAATGTATACCATTATCATCCTCCCTGCGGACCATGGCAGCGAGTGTAGTAATATGTCTCGTCCTGTGGACCACGAAGTCGTCCCTGGCAGGGCTGGCGGAGCGCCGCTCGGGGGTCGAACTAGCCGAGCGACACACCGCGCGGGACCGACTGCTTAGCGACGACGGGGACCGAGGCACTGATAGTACAAACACTCAGTTATTGTGTGAACAATACTTTATACATAAATTCTTTAAAAATTCACTTAAAAAGACTGTCAAAAGGTTTAGTTACGACGGAATATTAACTACATAAGCCAATATAAATATTTGCGTTAATGTACTTGCGCATGCAAATGCGTATGCAAATTTAATTAAAAATATACCTCAACATTCTTGACAATTGTAAACTGATAGGTACAGTCTTCTTAAGTGGGACAAAAACAACACACTAAAACATTCAGCATTCAAGAAAAAGAAAAACATAAAAATCTACTTTAAAAACACAACATCAAGAAATCTGGAAAAATAAAACAAAAGTTAACCAAAATTAAGAACGAAAAATGTAAAGAACTTACCCATTCCATTTGTTGCATACTAGTAAGAAGCTAAGATTGTAAGCAGCACAAAGCGATCAAGTTTTACAGTGGAGAGAATGTGACAGTTTACGTCAACATTGTGGACTTTGGCTACTACAACTACCAAGAAATAATATCTAGTTTAAAACAAAGGTAAAACTTGATAGCCTACATCTATAGTGCTAGCATTACTGGTTAATAGCTGGGAGTCGTGAGGACATAACGTCATTGACTCCAAAGTGCCCAAGAAAGCATTAAAGTTTCCCATGCAAAGCGCTAGTTCCGAAGCCCATAACACGGTGAAAAGTGTATTATATCAACGAATATAAAGCTTTATATAGATATAACTTACATTTATAGGCACACCCTATAACACAAATAGACATTCCAATATAATACATATATTACGACATTTTATTTGACAAACACACACACACACACGCTGACGAACACAAATGAAAACGAACCAAAAACAAACACTATGAGTCGTGGGGAAGGCGAGTGCACTTTATTCGTGTACTACATAATTGTGCCTACTACAAATAGGGTAGTTTCCTAAATTTAATTTTAATGTCCGTCTGGTACATTAATTTAAAATTTTAGACACGTATTTTTTCTTTTCTCACAAAATTTTCGACGATATATTAATTTGAAATATCGTGTGACGTCACAGCGTGTCACTCCTAAACTTAGCACCATTTTATCTAAGTATTGCTACTTATTACGAGAAAATAAAAAATACGTGTCTAATATTTTTTCATTATCTCTCTGACGGACTAATTCGATTTTTAATTTTGATACCCTGGAAACTACCCAATTGTTGATCTTTTAAGATGCAATTTTTATGAGTTTATTTACATGAAAATTGTACATCTATACGTTTTTGAGGAGACTTCACAATGAACTTGATAGAGGTCGTTTTAAGTGAAGTCATTTTTATTGTTTACAGCACTTGTGCTTATGAAGATAATTGATATTGATTTCAATACTACAAAAAGACATCTTTTAAAAGACTGAGAGTAAAGAGGAACAGAGAAACCCCTTGAGAAAGAAGGTATCAGTATCTATATAGACTATAGAGTATGGTCGCAGTGTGGCGCCTCCCCCGGCAGTACCTGCGAAGGGCGGCAGAGTGTTGTCGTCGGCGGCGGCGCGCAGCTGCGGGATGGGCGCGGGCTGCGGCGCGGGCAGGCTGCGGCGCAGGCGCACGCCCTGCGAGTTGACGCCGCCCGCCGCCGCTGCGGACAGGTCATGTCTGGGTCCGCTCTCCGCTACTACACCTCCCGGTACGATGCATGTATGCGATCCAAGCGCAAAGGCTCCGTTCACAAGCGAGACAGGGTGACAAACATCGGGGACGGAATTTCATTCAGCAAAGCTTTCATCCAATTTAATACCGATTTCAACTTACCTCTTAGCTCACAAACATTGCAATATTGCGATATTTAAAAATAATTTTATATTACACGTCTTTCTATAAATAAATAAGTTCGATAAAATATTAACAATTTTAATTTTAAAAAAGGAACCCCAAATGTGCCTAATGCTTAGTATTGCCAGTAAATAAAATTAAAGCATATTGTATTAATCCATGTCCGTGGAGGTATAAAATTTTAATTTCTAATATTAGTAGGCAAAGAATCTTTGATATTATGACCACATACTCCCATTACTATTTAGCATGCAATACGGAGGGTATAACTTTGTATCGACGGGGTTAGGTTTACTGTCACAACTCACCACTTCCTGGGTATTTAACAGATTTGACAGGATGAACTTCTAGCATATTGAAGAGATCGGCGAGCATTGCTACTAAATTTTGACGCATTGACCTGGAAAAAACAACCAATAAAATGTATCTCGCACCTTTACCCTTACTCAACCCCAGACCACATACAAATAACCAGCAACTCTTCCTACAAATAAGACAGTACACACCCTCTCATATAAGTGACGTCTTCAGGCATCATATGGAACACGTTGTGTGGTAGCGCCGTCCGGCAGAAGTCGTGGACGAGCATGAGGTTGTGCAGGCAGTCTTGTATGGAGGCCATGCGGCCCACGCGCACCGCCGACCGAGGCAGCGCGTCCGGACAGTAGAACGAGATCAACGCCGCTAGCGCAGTGCCGTCGCAGATCTCTTGGAGACTTTTCAACATCGGAACATGCGATGATGTGTCCTCCTGGAATTTCATATTATTTTATGGTATAGATTGGTAAACAAGCAGACGGATCACAACAATGAAGGACCGGACTTGATGGCAACACTAAAGGATTGTAACTAAAACAAGTGATTTGTCGGCCTTTTGGAAATTTGGAGAATGCGAAGAGGGGTAGGATTAGGCATTCTATAGCAAGTTGATGATGAATTAGAATTTGTTTTTACTGAATACCCAAAAGTGTATAATTTTTTTTTATGCTAAACATGTTTCTCCTTACGAATTGGCCTCTAAGTGACATTGAAGTCAATGCTTAGACTCGTTTTTTGTTTCTACAAAATTCATTAAAACGTATTCTACAAATATTTGCATTTGTCATTTCGGTATTTATGTTACAGCACAGACATATTTTTACAAATGTGTCTGCTTCGAAAGAGATTGTGTTAATCGCCAAGCAATTAGTCGAAATGAAGGATTCTAGACTTTTGGTATCTAGTTCTAGTGTTTATTTACTGTCTAGAGTCCGATGGAGATACCACCTATTCTCTTCAAATGAACAGTGCATTTGTGAGATCAGGTCAGAGACTACTCATAATACATAACAGATTTGTTGTCATATGGGATTATTATATCACTTTAGTATTAAACTGCCAAAAAGACACCTTGAATGCCTTATAAATGTGTATCGAAGAAAGGTGGTGGCGCTGCAATCGCTTTAAGCAACTCTCTCAAAGGATTACTATAGATAAGGATAGATTGTGTATACGATTAAATACCTCAGCCTTATTAAGCGCAGCGCAGGCAGCGTTGATCCAGCAGAGCAGGCCGTCTTCATGGGGCGCGCCGGGCGTGTTGCTGAGCGGCGGAGCGCCCGCGCCAAACCGCTGCGCCGCCGCCGCCACGCGGTCCGGCGTCACCACCTCGCGCGCGTATAGCACCATCAATGCTTCTATCACAGCCATATGACCGCTCTGGAATCATACAGCTTTTGTTTAGCATATCTATAGACCATAATAGTTTACACATCTTCGTTCTATTCCCCAAAGATGCAGGGTTGCAGTCCTGCACGACTGCAAATTTTTGACCAAACAAATCTATGTGGTCATTTGGTCCATTCGCTAAACAGTTATAATGTTACATACACGACAGATTCAGATTTGCAATAACTATTGAGGTTGTCCTTCAACGTAAGACTTAACACCATGTACTACAAAGAATAACTGATACAATTCTTCTACGTAATCCAATCGTCTACAAAGTGCACTATGGAATAAATTATGTTTATCAACAAACACCTTTGAACAATAATAATTGTGCATAACTTCGTTCAGTAACAATGTCGATGGTCATGGAATATGTTTACATTTCATTTGTCGATGCACCTCTCGGCCAAGTTTCCATCTGTTTACAGACCTACTTGTACTTGTACAAGAAAATAATGGATTACGTTTTCACCCTCAAGGAAAACGCCCACATAGACCACTTATTTAATTCAAACTACAATAGATGACGTAATTACGTGTTTCTTTAGACACACACTGTTTATCATTCTCTACGATATCTATCGGATTAGCATTACCTAGAATGGTGTTTATTTTTGTCATCAATTCTTAAGCAATTACGATAATACCTTGGTAGCATCGATTGTACGCTGTCTCGCTTACACTTTAATCAAAGCTGTTCAAAAATTTAATGTAGAGAGGCCGTAGTAGTTGTAACTGGTTATTATGTTCCTTAGAACTTTACTTTAATTGTAGCATCTTTCTTCCAAATGGCAAATGAATTTATTATTTATTTGCAAATGAAATTGTGATGCTATAAATGTTAATTTTTCGTTTAGGTATAGTTTATCAAGTTATGAAAACAAACAAACATTGACTACGATAAACTCGCACTTAAATATCAATGAAATAATTTACCTTTGAATCGCACTGATAAAGATAAGCTAGTTTCTATCAATAGATATATTGGGCAAGTTTTGATGTAGTAGATAAGTATTACATAAAAAGTATATCCCTTCTTTATTTTAATATGCTTCTCATGTCATGATGGCTTATTAATAGCCTAGGATAAATTATTAATTATTTATTTACTTATATAAAACTTTATACATAAAAATGTACAGGCGTATTTAACCCGGCGTCTGTATGGTTGGGTCAATATGACCCGCGCAATTTTCAATTGTTTGTATCTTTTAAGAATCGAACGCGACGTTGCCGTACTTCTCAGTAGCTGGAGTTAAGACATCACCTTTCTTGTTTTATGCCACAGTTTAGTTGTCGTGCGACTGCACCGCGAGTTACACGTGCGCAAACGTCAAAAAGGTAAATATGACCCAACTATACAGTCAATGTAACAATTATGCGCCATTTTAGTAGTTAGTGTAAAAAGATTATAATTTCCGTATTCTGTTATTTGTAGGTTATAATTTAAAATGGATCGTGATGAATGTGAGCGGCAGCGTATTTTAGCAATTTTAGAGCAATCTGATTCAGAGAAAAGTGGAATTTCGTCAGAAAGCGAGGAAGATCAGGATCGTGTCAGCGTTCAAAGTCAAGAGACTGACACAGAACAGGCGCCTTCTAGCAGTGACGAAGATGATACACCTCTAAGTGAACTACAGGTACAAAGATCACAATATTATGTTGGCAAAGACGGAACTAAGTGGCAAAAGCAACCTTTTCGTCAAAATAGACGTACAAGAATGGAAAATATTATTACAGTGCCTCCAGGAGTACAGCCACAAGCCAAGTCGGCTTTATCAGAAATAGATTGCTGGGGTCTTTTTTTTACTAGCGAAATGTTGCAAAGAGTTTGAGTCATACAAACGCCCAAATAAGAGAAAAAATGCAAGCATGCCAAGATCTATCAAAATATAGCTACATGAAGGAATGTACTTTGCATGAATTTATGGCTTTTATTGGTCTTCTATATATAGCTGGTTTGCACCGCTCTGGTAGGGAAAATATAAGTGATCTTTGGGCTTCAGATGGCACAGGTGTGGATATTTTTCGCTTGACAATGTCTGAAAGACGTTTCCATTTTATTCAAAGTCACCTTTGCTTTGATGACAAGTTGACCCGCGGAGAAAGAAGAGTAGTAGACAATTTAGCCCCTATCCGCGATTTTTTTGATGCATTTGTCAACAATTGTCAAGGTGCCTATAATCCAAGTGAATATTTGACAATTGACGAAATGCTTATAGCGTTTCGAGGGAGATGCAGGTTCAGACAGTACATACCCTCCAAACCCGCCAAATGGTTTGATAAAATAGCTTTGGTTGATGCAAAGTGTTTTCTATATTGTGAACCTCGAAATATACGCAGAACCCAGCCAGCTGGCCCATATTTTGAGCAATAAGCCTTTTGATGTTGTCGATCGCATTGTGCAACCTGTTTTCTAAATCTAATCGTAATATTACGTTCGACAACTGGTTACAAGCTACGAGTTAGTTCTCCATTTACTACAAGAGCACAGATTGACTTCCGTGGGGACATTACGCAAAAAAAAAGGCAAATTCCTCTTGAATTCACAAAACTCGGGGCAAAGAAATTAATCATCTACATTGGCTTCCAAAATGATGTTACGATTGTATCTCATATCCCTAAAAAAAACAAAGTGGTATTACTTATGTCCAGTCTTCACCATGAAGCAACAATTGATGAGTCGACAGCAGAAGCGTAAACCTGAAATTAACACCTTTTACAATATGACTAAAGGCGGGTTGATGTTGCTGACGAACTTTGTTCCACATACAACGTTAGCCGTAACACGAAGAAATGGCCTAAAACAATAATGCTGTGCTGAATATGTCTGCAATATAAATGCATATAAACATAATAAAAAAATAATCAAATTGTAAAACGGCGCCAATTCCTCAAAAAGTTAGGCCTGCTCTCGTAAATAACCACTTGAATACTCGCCAAGGCGTCGTGCAGTTGCCGAGAGAAACGCGAAAGAGAATCAAGATTTTCTTGGAGAACCATCTGAGGAGCCACCTGCAAAAGTACAAGGTGTACGGAAAAGGTGTCAAGTTTGCCCAGCCAAAAAAGATCGCAAAACGACGCATACATGCACAAACTGTCACAAGTATTTTCCCGAACATATTGTTCCGTACTGCAAAGAGTGCTGTGATATGTTGCAAAATGAGACTAACTTAGGACTGTTTATTTTATTTTGATTTAAGTTTGAAAGATCTCGTTTTCAACTACACCAAAACGATAATTGTAAGATTATAAGTGAACATTTATGTAATATTATAGTAACGAACTGAGGATGCTATTTTTTGTGATATTTTTGTATGTTTTTTCATAACTCAAACAAAGATGCTACGATTAGTTAAATTGCCTTTTATTTCTGAGCAAACCTTAAATTATTATCAAGACTAAAATATCAATATTATATTATATATTTAAAGATCAACAAAATAAAGGCTTCTACATTTCAGGGTAATTTTGACCCACTTGACAGTCGGTGTAACAATTTTCTACCATACAGACGCAATTTAAGGCAATTTCTAACAATCGACCTTTAATATCTATGCAGTTGACACGATAGGAATTTGTTTCGTACGAGTCCTTATTGGCAATGCTACTCGTAAGGTGGAGTGTCGATGCAAAGTCCACAACGATGCATAAGTAATGTCTTGTAGTCGGTCCGTTATAGACATCGCTTAGTAATCTGTTTACTGGACTAGTCCACCGCAATCTGTTACTACCGACACGTGCGTGGAATTCCTAGCTGTTGGTCTGTTTTCATGTGATTTGCAAGTGTTAAGTGGTTTCGTTTACTTGTCTGTTCATCTGATTTTGTTTAGGTACACACGAGTGACAAAAATGGCGTCATAGGCTTAATTTTGACTAATTTTTACGTCATTCTCATTGACATTCAGTATTCATAACTCGATGAGTTTGTGCACCTTAATCGCCAATCCACTCAGCAGTAAAAGATTAATGCCAGACAAATACCAAACTACATAACATCACGCCTTTTATCCCCGAAGGAGTAGGCATAGGTGCACATTACGGGACTTAAGCCACTGTACAATGTAACATCCACTTTTCACTATTTATGTTATCGAGTCCCATGTAATAGGGGGTGAGCCTATTGCCATATACCGGGCACAATTCTAGACTCTGTGCTACCACTAAAGTTTTTTTTAAAAACCCAGTAATACTTTGCCCGACCCGGGAATCGAACCCAAAACTCGGCCAACGAGGTAGTCATATCTATAAATACCAAACTAGACCATAATAAATAATTTTACAGTATTAGCATACAACCTGTCCTCATACAACATACATGTAAAATATTTACGCACCATTTTGAGTGGGTTGGTTTGTATGAGCACTGTTTCGGTGAGCGCGCAGTCGGGTGGGTCGGGAACGTGCACGCCTTTCCTCGCGAAGGTCTGGAGTATGTTCCAATGGTTCAGACTGTGGTAGTTGGGGTCGGAGTACATGTTGGCGAGCGCTAAGCAGTACAGCTCAGCATTCGCCAGCCCGCCAACTATGGGGGGTTTGAGGTGCTCTTGATCCTGGAATAGGAAAATTTTGTGATTAAATAAAGGTGTTTTAACACAATAAATGTCATAGAATAACTGATGGTCTATCTTATTAGAAACACCAGACACAGTTGTAGGAATCAACTATTAATCATCAATATACCAGATACTAAATCAAGTTACCTATTATCTTATTATGTTCTAAAGTTAGTATTGTAGATCATAAGTAGGTCGCTTATTTCAGAATAAGTACAAAGCGTAGGATTAACCAAGCTTAACGAGCCTGTTCGCACGCATCGTGCTTGAATCACTGAGATTTACTACAAAATCTCTAGAAGACTGGTTAATCTGATTACACCATTGATTTATTGCCTAATGAGGCCCATAAAACACCAGTAGACATCGTAACTCTACTGCAAAAGATCCAAAGTGGGACAGAATCGGCCACTGATGCAACGGAATATGAGAGAGAGCAATAAACAACAATAACCATATAGTATTGCAGTTAAAACGCAACAGTTCGCTATATGGAATGTAAAACCCACTTTACGATAGGCAGTCAAAACTTATTCGTTAGACTAGCAGGCCGAAGTTCCAACTAAACGGGAACTAGGTCTTGGCATAGAGATAACTACGTAACTTCGAAACTTTTCCTGTAGCCCAAGATATACTGTTGGGAAAGTAGGCTTAATATCTTGGTAGATTCTTCAGTGCTTTTGCGGCTATACTTTGATATTAGACAACCAATTCTGCTGCTGAGAAATTCCAAATACTGATAGAAGAATGCATATCATTCTTCAGCAATTTAATCCAGCATCGGGTCAGTCCAAAGCGACCTTTAACTATGTGAGTTATTTCGGACAAACTATTTGGAATTCCACAGTGAGAGGTCGACATAATAACGGACATGAATGCAAATAAAAACGTTCCCAATGCACACAATGTTGGTCGCGCTGATGAGCCCTGAATCTGGATCAATGTTAGGTCACGTCCTATTTTTAACGAGGCGAGCTACTTAGCAACTCTGAAGTACCATCTCTATGTGACAAACACTTCCTATGGAATCTAGATTGTAGGCGTGAGGTCCAAATTGAAGATGATTTACCAGTAGGAAACGTTATGACCGTGAATAAGGTTCGAGTAATTTGGACTTTAATATTGTTGTTGTGAATGGGCATTTGTGCGCAGCAAAATATGCGAATGTCATGGTCAACTAATGACAAGATACAGAATTCTAAATGAAAAATAAGGAAAACGTGAATAAAGTCAATGAATATTCTCAATGTCAAGCTTGATTATATAAATACGCTTTAGATTAAGACGTTTAGGTAGAAAACAGTTATAGATTTGCTAAGGATCTTAATGATTCAGAACAAACAAACAATAAAAAATTCTAATAATAAGTAATATAAGGTGTGTTGGCTAGCGTCAGAATGGGGTGAACACATTAACCTTGGTAGGAGAGGTGTGGCTAGACCAGACGATGCTATTATGGCGTCATTCGTAAATAACACCTCTAACACATAGGCCATTTTATGAACAGTAAACATTAGCACATAAATCAAATTCAACAGTACAACTTTTTAAAAGCTTTCCCACTGTGTAAATGTCAACAAAGCTATGACTTAAAAACTGCTACTTTTTGCCGTTTCGTAATACTAAAACCCGTTATCTTTTATATCTTCAATCTAAAGAATAAAATTAATGTACAGGTCACTGACATTTAACATTTAAATATTGATTACAACACGAAATAATTACATCAGAATACTAAGCAGTGTTAGTATCAACAATCCTAGATTTAAAAACGCGGTTAAGTCCAGTGGATTAGTCAACGACAAAAAAACCGGTTTAATTGCAAAATCGAAGTATTACGACATAAAATTACCATCTCATTGACCATGAAGACAAACGAAACGTGTGAAATATGGCTGGCCAACACTGGCCTCGATAGCTCTCACTTTTAATCTCGATACTAGGTAAACTTGTGTCGATTCACACGCATTCGACTCAATGCAATTTCATGCAGTGAATGGCTTTTCTTAATGACCACCGCGGTCTTGATTTTTATGGCAGACATTTGACAAAATGCTAGCTTTGGCTACCAATATTGTGCAAATCTACTATTAAAATCGCCAATTCTGAACCTTTCACTCATCGGTGACTCGTAATTATCTGAACATCTAAAAATCTTTTAAAGAGAAATTTTATTGAATTGAGAACATTCTTTTCAGATAGATATGATTCCAATGACCAAGCACGTTAATAAATAAGTATTAGAACGGCAATCGATTTCTGACTAAATTGTCGCCCACTAACGCTTGATTTGGAGTTAATAAATTATTCAGACAATAGTATGGGATCCTTGACCCGGCCTGAAGGGCAATGGAAGGAATGTGCGAAGTTAGGAATGTGACAACAAGGTTTTTTTTAAGGGGGGAAAATCATCGAATGACTGCTGCCGCCTGGGTGAGGCGGGAGGGAGTGTCAGACTTTTACTGACTAAAAACCACCCCGTTCCTTCTCCTGCACGTCGAGCCGGAGCCCCGGTAACCCGTTAGATGTTTGATTTATTGATTACTACCTACCTGCGATTCAAGTCAGCATCAAAATGAACAAATCCAAACAACTAAAAGCTATTAACAACAACGCAGTATAGAAACTGAACCAAATTAACACAAGGTTTTAATAAATGGTTTTGAACCTCAAAAGACTGAAACTAACAAGGAAAGTTTCACATACGGTCCATCTAATACAGTTTCTTAACAATCTCCAGACGAAACCCAAAGCTATTTGGCAACTACGGACAACAAAATCCTATTACACGGGAGACATTCACCCTCTGCACGTAGCACCTAAAAGAAAATAATAAACAATAGATTGTTTTACTTTCCTTACAAAAATACGTCAAGTATTGTGCACATGTAATTGTAAGGCAGGTCATTGCACCAAAAAAAATTTGTAAATTGATAACGCTAATAGCAACTAGGGCAAAATATGAAAACTTGCCGCTAGACACTGCACATTTTTTTGGACAAATATTTGCGAAAACATCTAACAACTTTGTTTGATTTAAAATCTGCAGTAAAAGTAGATTGTGCTCACAATTTATAGAGAAAACTGAGATGGTATGAGTCATCGGTGAACATACGTATGAAGGCAACAAAAGAAGTTATCTTCAGTCAAAATGAAAATATGTTGGTGATGTGACATACTAAAAAGAATTATAGTTCTTCTTTCTTATTGGTACAAGATGAAAGGTTTGTAAAGAAATGTTCCAAAAACAACCAGCATGTTACTTGTATCGATTTATGTTCTGGAGCTATTACGTAATAATAAATTGTAGTTTGATTAAAGGCCTGTGTGGGACATTCGAGGAACAACATTTAGTTTAGTGAGTTTACTGATTTATAAGCTGGACTAGATTTGCTTCTTAGAAATATAATACAATAAACATTTCAGCCATTTGTTGTCCAGGCCCATGTTGTAGGTAGCCAGTTACTTGACACGTTTCAATTTTGGTCCTTAGTAGATTTGTGAACTTTATTGGATAATTCCTCCATCAGAAAGAATCGGCATCTTTAACAATGTGAACGACGGCGGATCGTGACAAGTGCAATCGATTATTCCACCTATTTATAAATCCCAGTAAGGGGAAAAGTTGTATTTACATAAAATAGAACTACGTACAACAACGATATATCGGTATCATGAGCTATTTGAATCAAGTGCTCTCAACTAATTAACTTATCTTCGGATCAGATCATTCACACGCTCGTGAGAACCACGCTGGGCACCGTGCCATCTACCGAAAGAAACTTCACCGACTTTTTGCCTTTGTTTGACGCTGAACTATAGTTTCGCTCGATGATAGTAAAAGAGAACTTCTTATTGAACTGTGGGACACGTAAGATATATTAGTCTGATTCAACATATTCTTTTTGCAAGTCTCGTACGCAGGAATATTTTCGCAGAACTTTGCGCAAAAATAAATAACGTTGAAAACAGTAACTCAAAATAATAATTCATTTCCACGGCTGGCATATCAGATTGTACGATCAATTCACGAGACAGTCCAAAGGTTGAGGCACAATCTCACGATTCGACATCAGCGACGACTTGTACTTAATGCCATTCGAAGAGAGCTACTGTAATTGAATAATTTTGGAGTCTTCTTTAACTACTATCTATAGTCATTAAAGTGTTAATTTGACAGATAACGATACTTTAACTAAACCTTATGAGTAATTTAGCTGCACTTCGGTGACTTAGTAGAAAAAATTAACGCCAACGAGGGTCGGCCATTAGCCCGGGATGGCCCGGAGCCATATAATTTATAGGCAATCCCTAGACCGGTACAATAAAGTGATGCTGGTAAAATAACTAGGATTGATTAGCTTACACTTTCTAAGAGCAGCACCATTCACACCGTCTCAATTAAGACGAAACATGCGCTCATAAAACCCTTATTAACAATTCCGATGAGATTCTAACCTGACGTGCACATAATTAAGCGGCGCGAACGGCACGACAAAAAGACGCAACGAGACGGCGACAAGTCGCAGCGTCTGGCTCCAGGCTCGGGTCAAGGAGAAAGGCGACGAAGCCGGCGACAAAATACCACTATCGAATTTGTAATTCTCACATTTTCTTAAATTGCAAATAGGATGTCACTTTGCTATCTGTTTTTCATTGTAGTAGTGATAACTATAACTAGTAATTGCGTTTCTAGCTAGTAAAGTCGTTATTGCAAATAACTTATTCGGAATACAACTGTATCTCTTGCTGTATTATTGCAAGCCATTATTTTACATAATCTTTGTACAGCGCAAGACCCAATAACCCAAACCCATAACACCAAATATGGTCAGCTGCCATTATATTTATTAATCCAACGGCTTTGCAAGATTGAATTATAAACAGATCTTATTTTGGTATTGTAAGAGGCATAATGGTATCATTACATTTATACCTGGCTTGAGAATGAATCATAAAATCTCAATATGCTGCAATAAGCCGGGTTAGTACTTACGATGTTGAATCAAAGTGATACAACGAAGTAATGGTGCTGACTCATTCATTCATCGGTAAGCAACTAAGTTTCATCAAAAAGGTGTTACTTTTTGGTATACGTCTGTCAAACATAGTTTATTTAACCGAAAAAGAATCTAATAAAACGTCTCCTAAAACCAAAGACTTACATTGTGTTTCGAAACAACTTTACGACTACTAATTTCCAATAAGTTTTAAGAACAATACGAAGCCATTCGACTTTGCCGAGCAGCCTTAGAAAACACTGAAGCGTAGCAACCTGAAAATCAGAACCTAGCCCGACGCACAAACACATACAGTTACAATGAGGTCGCCGACTTGCAAAACAATAACTATTCAAAGACAATATTTGTACTGGCGACGTGAATACAATGTATGGTTGGCATGAGATTAAATACCGGTCAAATAGTAGATACGATAATAACCGAATCCGGAAAACATCTATGTGTAATAAACCAGCTGAGTCACTAGTCACCGGCGAAAAGAACAAAAGGTACCAGTTTCCCGAAGGCGGAAACGACGTAGACTATTTTTAAGCGACGCGACAATTTTAACATTTGCCTCTTTGGAACAGATGCACATTCCAATTTGAACTTTAAGTTCTTAACTATCAGCAATTCTCTTCGTTAGAAGATTACTTCCAAAATGTAAAAATAGTATGGTACAATAGTTAGACGAATGTGCGTTCATTAAGAAATATTTTCGACCTGGAAATCGGTTTGAAATAATTTAGATGAGCCAGAACACCGCGACTTATAACATTTCAAAGGGACATTACGTTTATTTATATTGAATGAAATCCGTTTCTTGTGGTACAAAATACAAAACAAGGAAATAAACCTGAGTTGTGATTGTTTAATCCATGTAAAGCTGGATAGCGGTTTTATTGCACTGGCCGTTTTATACCTTTAGGAAATAGAGTTTATTGTTATAGTCGTCTCTAATGGACGGTACTAGGTTAATGTAGCCTCAGGAAATTATAATTGGTCACCACTTTTTGCCAATGTCTGGTTGTCGACCTCTGGAACAAAGCAATAACACCCGAGTAACCTTTTGCCTGGAGTTCAAACAACTCAACATTGTCTACAATATTCCAAAAGGAACATTCGACGAAGCGAAATACGCATCAATCCCAGCTTCACCCACGCATTCAATGAACAGTTATCTAACATAGATATTAGCAAACAATAGTTAATTCAGATGATAGAATTAAATTATTGCTATTACACATTACTCAAATGAAGCATGACTTTATGGACGTCTGATAGCAATCTCAATATATTTCGAATATTATGGATCGTAGGTAAGGTACACAAATTCTAATAGGAAGTTAAGGGCAACCAATTTCGAGTACCTTCGAAATGCAGGGTTCCCATGCACTAAGTACGGCTATATCTGATACAAACATAATGGTCCTTGAACTCGTTCGCAATAACAATCGTTAATGGACATCCGCTGCACTACCAATGATAAATGTACAGGCTTCTTAGAAATCATCGGAGAAAGGCTAACCAAACAAATCATGATCTCGACGGGTACTCGCTGTTCACAACAGCAAGTAAAATGATTGCCCGTACATTTTTAATGAATGTTGTTTAAATATGAGAAGTGGATATCAGTTACACGGTAAAGCTGATAAAGAAGGTAAATAATAATTAAATTCTGAGAGATTACGTAAACATGATAACGGTGAAGACGCTAAATCTTAGTAGATATCATCTTAATTTACAGGCTGGCTCAAGGGCCTTCAGCACTTGAAGGTTATGAGGTTATTTTTTGATGTAAAATAAAGTATTTCTAATCATGCAACAAAAGACTTGAGTTCCAAGACGTAATCATATTCTGCTGAAGACAATTTCACTTTGTTGCCTCAAGATTCTTTTGTAAACAGAATGTACCTTACATTTTTGTTGTGTTTCCGTTTATTTTCATCACAGCCATATTTTACCACATGGGCACTAGGTCAAACACAGTCATAAGGACGTAATTACTAGGGACACTCCTATAAGCACATTTTGTTCACTACTGAAAGCTCGCGTGACACTAGTTACCAACCCAAAGCAACTGTGGCGGGATGGTTGCGATCAATATTGTACCATGCTCATACTAAACTTTTATTTCAAGGGCAACCATTCCGAACTGGTAGATGATAAAAATGGTTTACGTATGAAAGGGTTAATCGAAGGTCAACCAAATCGGTTAGACATTCGATGACGCGTGGTTAGCCTAGCATTGGCATGGCTTTGAAGGAGAACCTTGTTATTTCGTGTCCATTATCAGTCTTTCTTTGGAATCTATATCGAAGGATCAAAATTTGACAAATTATTATTTGTCAGTAAATGAAAATCTGACCATTATCAAATCAGTCATTTTCACTTCGATTGTGCATGGAATTTGATTATTATGTAGAAGGAGAAAATAGTTGTACATAATTTTATAGCATTTGTCTTGGCCTTTGGTCAATACTAAAAGCAGTTGAAAGTGAATAAACAATGATTTGAAAATGTAATATCAGAAGACAATCTCGCAACAACCGACTGAAAAATAAAAAGGGATTGAAATGAAAGGACAATCCTGTCGGCGGTCTGCGGAGATCTACCGCAGTAGGCAATTTCTTTTATATTAGCAGGCACGGGCAAAATCCGACCAGAGAAACTAATCTGTTTCACGTGACCGATTCTATTTGTTCTTCGGAAGAAAATGCACTTTTATTGAACTGAATTCGACGTCGGATTTGAAATGAAACGTTTCAAAATAAATGATCTCATTCTTCGTTAAGTGACAGAATTCTAACAATCGTGTAATAAGACACTACTAGGAATAATAGTTTTGAAATATGAACCCTGTCTCCATTTGGGACAATATCTGTGATTAATCAAGTGCAAGGCAGACGTGGGCACTGCGGGCAGTGAGCACAGTCCACGAACCATAAAACTGTATAAACATACAGACTTCGATGTGTTTATTATCTTTAGTCAATGGAATATGTAAGTAAAATGAATATTAACTGTTTACAACAGTGGAAGCGTCTATTAAAGTCGTTTATAGTACAAACGAACGGATACGAGTACAAATGTAGTGGAAATTCAAGTTGAGAAATGTCTGAACATTGACCGTGTTTCGGGGCAACGTTCTTTTATCTGCTTCAAAGGATCTAATGTTGTGGTTGCAGTTAATATATTTCAAGAGATATCAACATTCACACCATAAGGCAGTTTTTTCATAGCTTCGTCACGCTTTCTTGGGGTAAACACTGTCCTACTGTTGGCAGTTTTCAATGTAAATATCTAGTCTATAATTCTATTGTAGGTAACAAAATGCTTGTTACCTTTACAGTTTGGAATGACCCGGTTACGTATTGCGGAGGTTAGGGGGCGATGGTCTGCATTAACTATGTGTAGGAAACGGTCAGTAACTTAAACTAGCGTGTATTTGACCCCAAACAGAGTTCCGCATTTTACCAAATGCTTTATTACTTCAGGAACATAACAGCTTTATAGCTTGTCTGAAAATTGCCTTGATACAAGATAGCGATAGTTTAGAGAACCCTAACTGAAATATCAATTTGTTCAAAACATTGCAGTTGAACAAATTCAATGCATGCGTTATGAAACAAAGTAAACGTATCATAAACCAACATGAGTTTCTATATTCACAGCGAGAACGCAAACAAAAAAGTTACGGCTAGAAAAAGCGACATCAGTAGCTAAACACAATAATAAATTTTATTAAAAAACTTATATTTTGGGGCTTGTAATAGAGATTGATAACTTTTTGTGACATTTACTTCTTTATCATTAAACTGAGTGATGGTAGACGTCTGTAGACTATCGACTCCTTTCACATTTCCTATTTAGTGTACCGAAGTAGAAACCCTAATGTCGTTACGTCACGATGTAAGCCTGTACGTTACACGCTATCGCAAATTGTTGACCTAACAATGATTACTTCGAAAATTCAGTAATCATTGTTCACGATACAAAGGCACATTGTACTGCTTTTTTCTTTTGAAGAAAGTTTACTAGCTTATGTAATATCAGAACTAGGTCTTTTCTTATATTGTACCGAATGTGGAAAAGCAAGACAGTTAAATAATACACATTTAAAATTTAAACGTTAAATAAAGCGCATTTTTAGGTGAAATACTTTCTTGCTATCGTTATAACGTTTATATGATGAACAGCAATCTAATTGTCAGGGTGTTTTGAGATGTTCGGATCATTTTGGACATCTGAGCGTGAGAAATCGAGAAGAATGTTATTGTTTTGAAATTTAGAAGACAATGGGTCATTATTCTATCCATTCAAGGACATAATGCGATATTAATTTAGTTTAAAACAATAATCAATTTCATTATGACTTCAGATAACCATAACATGAAAGTTAAGAAAAATTCATATACATGAGAATAAATTAATTAATTTAGAACTCACCTCATGATCCCTGTAAAAGGGCTCCTGAAGATTATCCGGGACCCTGTTGTTGAACGCCTTCGTCAACAGCCATTTTATCGATGCCCGTTGCTTCGACTGAAACAATGGAAAATCCTGATTAAAATCTATGCTAAGTCGGTACAGAAGTTCAGATAAGTAAAATATATTGCAAACTAGGCCATTAGCGAGTTTTTCTCAATATGAACTTTAAACCGCAGTCATTAAAACTTTGCTCTTAACTCACAATTTCATTAGTTCGTACAGTAAGCTTAGGTTTGAAACAATTAAAGGTGGCGTGACCCAAATCTAGTTCCTATTGATCATTGCACCATATGTACGCCACATAAAATCATAAACCAGTACAATGATGACAAACTACTCATATCTTAGGTCGTCATCTATCTGTTAACGAGGTAATAATTGCAAATAGCAGTTCCATTGAGCCAGTTGTCGGCTGTCGATTGCCACAATTATTGTCAATAGTCAACCACTGCTACGTTATGGCAACGTCCGCTTATTGTGATCGCATTGATCAATAAGTGGAACCGAAGTGGTCCTTGTCCTAATTTGTGTTCAGCACTATCATCACTCAGTACTCGTTGATGTGATAGTAGACTGATTGATTGTACACAAGTTAATTGAATTGACTCTTTGGCACAAACAATAAAACGTCCATGAATGTTACACTACTTTGGAAAACAGCACTAAAACGAATTCAGTTTAGTGTTACTACTTCTTGGCATTGCTATATTGGATACGACGTGTATCGTCTGGTACGTACAGAACGACAGACAGTACAACTATAAAGTTCTTTCAATACTTTACATCGCATGAATACCTTCGCGCTTTGAGTACTTAAATATCGTACGTCTGATAATAAAACTTACATCACGATACAACATAAAATGATGTCATAAAATATGACCGCGAAGAGCATAATCCATATGAATATTGAAGCTCAATGTCAAGGTCATATGGAATCAGTATCATACAACGAATGATGGAATATATTGTGAATACCTAGTTGTTGAGAGCCTAACGCGACTTTATTACATCAAATTCGTCATGCAAGTGAGAAAGTAAGCACGCGAACCACCAGTCTCTATTATTAATTTACTGTAAACTAATACTTAAATCATGCAAACGCATCACGAAGTTGAGAAATCCGTTGAGATGCAGAATTTTAATAACACGTACGGTTAAGCCACACGGCATGGAGAAACGTTTCGAGGTTTTCTGATTGTATCGTGGAAGACATTTTAGAAAATCTACCCATCCACCAGCACACATAAACCTTGTAAATAAAAAAAAATCCTTATGTAGTCTGACAGAAGAACTATTCAGAAACCAACAAAACATTCGAGTGCTACGATCAAAGAGTTGCTTCAGTATACCACACGGAATAACAAACAAAAATAAAGTAACGTTAGAAGCGGAAACATTATTCGAAAATGTGCCTCAAACATTGGAGAGAGACGAAGCAAAAAATGAACAAGATGAGCTTAGCTATCAATAACAGTATCAGAACGTCGACAAATCATAAAGCTGAAAAGTCGGACGCGTGCCGGCGCATGCGGCCACGGATAAAAATAGTCCACTGCACGGAGACACTCCCAAATAGGAAGCTACTTGGACGGGCTCGATCAAGAATGTCACAGTAAACTACTCGTACGAGGATAAAAAGGAAACTCATGTTTATAACATAAACATAAATGCTTTCATATACCGATGAGAAACTAGGCTCATACTTTAAGTATAATGAACAACTGTCTAGTATGTCGACGGACGAACAGATGAAGATAAGAAAATGTACATCAAAATTCTTGAATAGATTACCCAATCAAAATTAATTAACTTGGAATTGGATTTGCATGAAATCGGATAGATATTAGTAGACACTAATATCGTGCTAACAGAGACAAACAGTTAAAGTTAATAGAGTATCTGTCGTTCCATTTAATGATTGATTGGCATTGAGTTCCAATCGTATGTGTCTATTCTGCGTAGGTGTAGCTATGTATTCTTCTACGAGTATGCGAAATGGTTTTAATGAATTTAAAAATAATATCTCATGGGAACTTATAAGGAATTCTTTCATAGAAGCATTGTAATTACAGCGATTCAAACTTTGAATACAACGCCAAAATTAGACGATGCTTTAAATTCTTTGACAATTAAAGCATTCCGTATCGAAAATAGACATGGACATTGAAATACAGATAATCTCAGGAAAAGTACTGGAGAATTTTATTACCACCTAAAATGAGTAAATTGGGTAACCATTTTGAAACTGTTATGGCCGCCTACACCTGTAGCTTACACCCCAGGAGACTGTCGGCGGGTCGTTAATCTTGTTCAAATGCAATATTAAATCAAACTAGCGAATATTTCAGCTAGGCAGAACAAAGGCTGGGTATAGAAAGTCCTTCTCAGGGGAGTCTGAGCTTAAATTAATTACAAGACTTCGATTTAGGTTAAGGTCTAACGAAAGGCTTTGTGGTGTGTACTTACGTATTTTATACAACGACTGAAAAGTTGTAACCCTGTGATTTCAGTCACTAAACGATGTAAGATGTGGGATAAAATCTCAGATATGGGATAGAATACAAATAGTTGTGCCAAATATGCAAATTGAAACAAGCCTCACATAACACACAGCTGTTTAGTTTCTTATAGGGACGCGATCTAGAGGAAACCTTTAAGCTGGTTTGAATTGTAAATATTTTGATGTCAATTAGATAGCAACATTAACTACCAACCATTAAGATTAGTATGTTAATGTATTTCGCTAAAGTATTCATTAATATTGTTTATCTGACAAGAATTTGATCTCAGAAAACCTTTATGTTAAACTTCGTCAATTCAAAACAAGATTGAGTAATAACTAATACGTTTTTTTATAAATCCAGTACATTCATATTTACTTTGATTCACTGCGGTCTAAGTAAATGCAATAAGTTTATGGTTTATATCCCACATCTCTTCACGGCGCATTAAATTCCAATTGCTTTACATCTTATATTCATAAAATAAACGTATGCATACTGGAGAAGGGAGAATAGCATTCAACAAGTGGACAGTTTTCGCCTAGACAACAATATAGAAGCAAATTGAATTCAATTCTAAGCGAATTCACACATTTAAAAAACATAAACACACAGTCGGAGCAAACTCATTCAATTTGCAAACCTAAGGAGCGTTTCGCTCGTAAAGAGTCGACTATTAAGTACTTTCATACACCACGCTATAACATATAGCAAGTGGAGCGGGCAGGCCACTCTCTACACTCAATTCTTGGTGGTTAATTGCTGCGCAATTAGCGAAGTCGTCGCTGTACACACATTTCACTCTCTCCTATGGCCAAACCACGTTTAGGTGGGCAAAGGATTGGTGTGGTCAGTGTTTGCTCATTACTACCCTTGTTATAGACTTTACAAGCCGAAGAATGCACTTCCTGATTGTTTGTCCACCGTGGGCATGAGAGATTAGCAGCGAAGCAGCTCAGCTCAAGCGGAACACGACCATTAGACAGACAGGTCGACGCCACATCATTGATGCTTTCACGAGCAGATGTGCTGCTCCATGAATTATTACGCGACCATTTAAAGTACAGACACGCAGTAGCAAATAGTGATTTCAAAGAAAACCTGTTTTGAATGCATGCCCTCAATGCCTTTATCCTTCACATGGATTAAATTATTTTGTTGGAGTGTGAGTAACTTGCACTTGAGCTGCATGCGTCTGACCCGCGGAATAAAGGGCAATGTAACTTTTATTATGTTTTATATTCTAATTCAAAATAACAGTACTTATCACAGGGCATGTAAATAACTATATCATAATTATGATTAGAACTTAAATGTAACTATCCAGTGGATACTTCTTTGGAAATAGCCTCTACAATCTCAATTCAATCCAATGCATTAAAAAACTAGTTAATTCAAGGAAGTTGCCAAAGCACTGGGATTGATAACAAAATGGGTAAATAATAAGATAGAATCTATGAAACGGGGTGAAGGTTCGTTGCAAAACAATCGTAAACAGTTAACCGAGTCGATTATCGTCGATTCGGATCGAAGGCTCGCAGTCCATGGCAGCCGATGCGCGGAAACTGGAAAGGTGCGTTGGCACCTGCAGCCCACGCAATCCACTGAGGTCGAGCGCCCACACAGCCCCCACACAAGTACGCCGGTACTTTAACTTATGTCTCTGAAGACAAAAGCTCTCTTCTCTCTCACAAGTGCGAGTGAGATAAAATCGATTCAAATTTTGACACTTCTGTGATTGATCAAATAAGGTGAGTAGTTAGTTCAATTTGGTCTATTTGCTAAAATAATATTAGCGGTTAACATAGTATCTAAATGAGGAACCAATTCTAAATAATATGAGACCATTAAGTTAAAAATAAAAGAAATATTTATTGTATTTAAACTTGAGCTGAAACCAAGGAAATGAAAGTTTCACCTTAAACGCGAATTTACTATTATGAGTAACAGCTATAATGTTATAGAATGCTTTTTATGATTCCGGCAACAAATTATCGGTAAACGGAAATACATGCATAGCTAGAGCTAGCGTGAAAAAAGTTGTCAGAAAGAAACAAAACATTATTATTGAATAATTTCACGTCGCGTGTCTAATTACAATAACTAGTGTACTTAATCATGCATTACATTCTGTAATTCACATATATTGGCATTTTAATAGGTCAGCCTGTCTGGTAAGATATTGTATACTAATGCCCTGCATCTGCTGGCAACGGCTGCTGCGGCAAGCTTTTTGTTTTATGAACACTGGCCAACTTTTTACAGTCAACTAAAATAGTCACCTGTTGCAGCGAGCTTCCTCGGTGCAGCTGTAACGAAATACAAAAGCTAATACAAATAAGGATAGATAGACTACATCCAAGGTGAAAATTCAAGGAAGGGACATCAAGAGTCCAAAGCAACGAACACACGTTAAATAAATTTTATACAAAGTCAATACTGGACAAGTTTGACGAGAAGTGATTCATGGGTGACCAAATATGGGAGACAACTTAACGAACAGCGGCGCTGAGAAAAAGAATTTCTTGCCCCTAAGAACTCTACATCAAT